TTTAATGATTAGAACTCTGCTGTTAATCAGCAATGACGATAATCAGATGATCAGATGAAAGATTCTCATCTGTTATTCATCAATCATTAATCTTCAATTGTATCATGAGATTAACATGATAAAAGGAAAGATAAACACCCGAAAGAGGGAGAAAATTATTATCTCTCTGAATCGATATTCATCTTGAACATATCGAGCTTTTCTCTCTCTGAACATTTCTCGATATTCAAACTTTCTCTTCTCATTCGGGTTTCCATTCTTTTCTAATTTTTCTGAATTCATTCAGAATAACGGTGAATGTTTCATATTCTCCAGAGGAAATTGAGATAAAACTAACAAAAGAAAGTACTATGATAAAGATAAGAAGAAGAATAAAATATAATAATAATCATATTAGAAGATATAGATGATTAAGAATTTAGAAATGATGGATAAGGATTATCAGGATAGAAAAGAAAACATTAGAGATAAATAAGTGAACATGATTCTTTCAAGTTTACCCTGTTCACGGAATCATTCAAGTCATGATAGTCAAGATTTTCCGGTCAACTGAAAAACAAAAATATCACAAACTCGATGATTCTGATCATTGATAATATCAAATCACTATGATGAACTTATAAAAATTAAGGATAATGACATATTCTTGTATTGATTGGTTTTAATTCACCTTTGAAAGGAGAGTTTATTAATCATTAATGATTTGATATCTCAAATTATCTAATAGCTTTCTCGATCGGGACCATGGAAAATCTTGAAAATAATCAATCGAAGAAAAATTTTCTGGTGAATTTTTTTTTGTTATTCTCACAAAATTACCTGAGTACTGAAGCTTATAAACCAATTGTTTGTTTCTCATCTCGAAGAGTAAACCTTGAGTTTGATATTACATTTGAACAGAAATCAAATCTAAAGCAACATATAAATTTTGAGTTGAAAACTCAAGAAATTAATTTCATGGTGTAGCTGAATTTCATTGAGAGGTTTTCAAATTGTCAGGTTAAATAAAAATATAACAATTGAGTTATAAGTTGAACATATTAAAACTTTGATTGATTTGCTGTTTAACTGAATATCACCAAAACCAAGTCCTCTGCGTAACTTTTTGATAATGCTCTTGGTGACTTTAAAATGATCTAACATCATTTCCTTCAGGAATTGGCCTTGAAAATCGTAGGGTCAGAACTTTAATTCTGTTTAATACTTTGATGACATTCATATGACCTTTAGCCGTAAGGAATAAAAAACGCCCTGTGTTATTGATTATTGCCCATTCAACTGAATGGGATTATTTAATCACTAATGCTAATAAGTTAACATTATTAATTTTTCTAATTATCAAAAGCTTAAATCGGCTAATTAGTTTCGTAAGTTTAATCATGATCTAGAAATTGTGGTTTCTTCAATGATGAAATTTGATTAAAGATTATAATTTAATTAAAACTGGAGAAAAAAAAATCTCAAGATCTCATGTTCAATAAACTGAATATCAGAACTTTTTTATATGACAGAATAAATATTTATCCTATTCATGGGATCATCATGGTATTTGTAGATAATCATTCCCAATGAATAGCTGGATGAACATGATTTCATGTTGAGGAGAAGAGAAAAAAATTTCAAATTCGATTTAATTTTTCTCTATTTTTTTCTTTGCTTTTCTTCATCAGCTATAAATTTTTATGAATATAAACTTGAACCATTTCCCGAGTTTCTCGTGAACTTTAGCATGGAACGAAAATTCATTCATTTGGTTGTTTGCTCTCTTCCTGTTTTTGTTTTCTCAATCCAATCAGATTTTCCCCTGAAAAGAAAATCAAACTTGATGATAAAAATACGACCTAAGGATGTAAACAAAGTTCCGAGTTCATTTCTAACTAAAAAACAATTGATTCCCAACACTGAACTTTCAAGATAATCTTTAAAGAGAGATGAGATCGATTTCAAGAGATAGATGATTTCAGTGCTAATATTATCATGAAAGAAAAATGTTCATTTCAACTATTGATCACTTAGCATTTATCAAAAGTAAATATGAGTTTAAGCAGAAACATTACACCATTGATGCCCGAGGGGTTTTCATTTGAATACTGAGCTGACCAGAACTGTCTTCGTGTTATAATTTAGGAAAAAGTTATGATAACATTTTCGGAAATAATGGGAATTCAGTTACCCAGTAATTTCTGATTCCATCATGATGATTCAGAAGGATGTTTACCTAAGGAAATTCAATGAAATTATTGTTATTATTTCATAGGATGAAAGGATATTACATGTATTCTGAGTAGTTAGGAATTCATTCAATTTCAATTTTACTCAAAGTCTCAAATTTTACAACAGTTAAACTCATTCACGTTTGTTGAATGGAGAAAATGAAACATTTTCAAATCTATTCTGAGTGATAAATATTAAATTCATCGTCATGTTGTCATGAAATTTTCAGTTTCCTTAGAAATTTTCAGTGACAGATAATCACTTAATCTGTTGACAGCAATCAATTAGCTGGTAATTTTTTTCTTCTTAAAACTATGACAACAATTAAAGTTAATCAACTTAAAGAACTTTGTTCAAATCATCAGATTGAAATGATAATAAAGGGATTATGGTGAAAGAGATTAAAATTATCTCCTTGAACTGAAATTTTCTCCCTTTTCTGTCCATCAGAACTTTTTTGTTTTCAACATTCGATAAAGATTTGGAAACAATTTCATCGTATCATTTTTACTGATAATTCACAAGATGCTCTATTTTTTAGAACAAATAAAATTGATTAATCGGATTGATTGCACTTAATTCTCATGAGATTTCACCTAAATTTCAATTCAGTGGCTCTTAAGGTTAAGTATAATGTTCAGGGGACAGAAATGGCTGATGAAAAACACTCTGAATCAATAGAAACAATCAAATATATCTGAGTGAATTACTTTTCCTCTATTTTTCTTCCAGTATCATAATATGGATAATCATTAAGTGAGAAAATGATATAAACTGGTATTAAATTCATTTCACAAGAGATAACGGTTTAATCTTCTTGATAATCGAATGGATAATCAATTTTATCTAACAAATCAATCACAAGATGATCATCAATTCAATTATGTTTCAATTGAACCTGAAAATTAGGTGAAATTAAACAGAATCAATATATTCACCTTCAAGTGTAAAAATTTAACAGAAACGATCAATAAATAATAATAATAAAGTTCACATTCAGAGTAGATGACATGATGATGAAGTCATGATGGAATCATGAAAGCTCATGAAGAAGATGATAAACTAGCTACAGGAAGACTAAATCTATCTGATGAGAGGGAAAAGTTCATTTCATCTCAATCATCATGATGAAATTTCATGAGGTGGAAAAAGTTTCTAGGCTGATTTTTGTAAATACTCATGAAATGAAGCAATTAAATCAGTAAATTACATTCGTATTATCATTTTATCATTTTGATCAATGTAAATACAATTTACTTTCACTTGGTAACATTGAATTTAACTCAATCCTTTTCACCAATCAAACATCATCAGATTAAATCAATTGATTATAGTTAGTAAATTAGAGTAACCAACTTAATATTATTTTTACATTGATATGGTTTATTATTATTACTCTATTCATAGTTAATCATAAAAAAATCATCAATGTGAGTGATGATTTAATAACCATTTACACAATTTACTTTCATGGTAATATGATGAACCAGGGTAAGTGGCTAATGGGAAACAATAGATTAATATAAATTGTTGTTGATTGATAAAATGATATTATCATGGCGATGATGAGTTAATATCCGATAAAATTATTCCATATTATTTTTATTACTCGTTTATTCATAATAATATTCATGGTTCTTTATCATTTATCTCATATTCATAATGAATTTGTATCAATATTGTTGATCACTATTCATGAGACAAAATAATTGGTACAAATATTAAATTGTTATCAATGAATGATTGGCATCGATTGATGATTAACATTGACTTTGAATTGTATTCAAATTGTGAATGAATAGTCAATTGATATCGTTGATCAAGTGATTAGAAAAGTTAATCAAAATGTCAATAGTTTTAATCTTATTCATTCATCTTGTTGATCTGATACTATTAATACATGTAATGTATTACTACTGATTAACTTAAGCTCATTTACAAGTTAATTACAATTTAAAACATGAGACAAGGATTAATTTCTGATTCCAGATAAAATCATGTGTAAATTTAACTAAATTCAACTTCCCAACTAATCAAGGCGTTGATTATTCATCTAAATCAGTTTGATTTTCACCAAAAATCATGATAATGTTTCTGTGAGTTTGCAATTGAATAAACAGAGAAACTTTTTTTTTCCTCTAATTTTTGTTTCTTTTTCTAAATAATTTACACACACATTAGATTCTCATTGAATTGTTTAAATAAATAACACAATTAGCTGAACCAGAAAATGGGTTAAATGATAATAGCCGAGAATTCAGTTAACCAGAATATTTTGTTTGGCTCCATCATCATGATTATCCCTTGATACTCAGTGATACCAGTTGTTGATATTATTCATTTCCATCCGTTAAAATGATAATCTTGTTTTCTTGTCTCAACCAACATCATCTCCATCTTCATCATCGTCATCATCTTCATGGTGATGATTCTCAATGTTGTTTATCTTTTCATATAGAAGATGAAACTTCATCACCCTCAGAATTTTCATCAATATGTTTTCTTGGAATCTAATTTTCTTTAATTACTCTCAGAACAAACTTGAACATTTATCTCCATTCGGTTGATTTATTTTAGATGATGATGAAAACTTATTATCATTCAATCATAAAGAACTTTCATCTTAAACAATCAACTGATTATTTTGCTTTCTCGGGTTATTTTCTACCTCTAAATTGTTACTTTGTACAATAATTAATTTCATTTAAATGTAGATTTTCATCATCTCATCATATTAGTTTTCCGTTGAATCAGACAATTAATTAATCGGTTAATTGTTGACTTACCTTCCCTTTGTTGGTCCAACAAAAATGGTGCAATCATTACAATCATCAACTGTTGCTGAATCAAGGTAATCAAATATGCATAGAATTGATTTTTGGCAATTTTGAACGATAAATTGTTGACCATTAATTGAACCTGGTTTCTTAATCACCGTTGATTCCGTTACATTTTCAATTGTATATTCACATGGATCAATTTTTTCACGATTATCCCTGAAAATGAAAAGGTAAAGATAATCACCAAATAATATTACATTTCAAAAGTTAATTGTTCTCATATTGCAATTAAGTTGATTCGTTTAAAAATTCAGTTCTATGGTTAACAAATTGTAATACTAAATGATTTACATTATCTACTTCCATTAAAAGTGCTTATCCATGGTAAAAGAGAGAGAGAGAAGGTGAAAGTAATACAAAGATCTGAAATCGATTTTTTTTCCTCGAGTTCTAACCATACCCTATATGTGAACATACTACAAGGTCAAAGGTTAATTCTGTATTAGGTTTTCTTGCCTTCTTATTCTGGGTTCATATGATAATCCAAGGCTAATCATGTGAAATTGTTTGGTGACCGTAATCATGTTTACTCAATCAGTTACGCATACATTATATTAATAGGATTACCTGACAGGTTGATGAAGATTCAACAGATTAACGGATTAAGACATTGTCTCGGATTATAACAATTTATATGAATTCTCATGAATTGCAAATTAAATTGACTGAAATTTTCCTGAGTAAATTTCTAGAAACATTTAATAATCATATTTCTTGACAATTAACTGAACTAATCTAAAGATAATCAATGAAACCAGAATTGTAATAATTAAATTCTCATCAAGGGGATAAATTAAACATGAATAATTAACTCACCATGAATAATTATTAGTTGATTCAGTTTGAGCTTGTTGTTGTTGCTGTTGCTCATTTTTTGATGTTAAACAGCCCATAGTTGTTTAACTATCCCTTCAACTGGACAATGGTCAAACCCTTTCTGATAAATCTCAGGTGATACTCAATAAAATGTGACTACAAACTAACAAATATCATCAACTATTATTATTATTATTATTATTATTATTATGGTTAGTTGATAAATCCAAAAGGTCAGTTATTAATAACATGGACACAAAGATATAAACAGAAAAAGTCACTCACATAGACACAGGAAATATAATATTAGACAAAGGGGAAAAGGTAAATCAATAAAGGTAAATGATGAAAAGTTAATGATGATTTGAAACAAAGGTAAACAGGAAACAGATTAACTAGATAATCAAGTCTAATCGCAATCAAGTTAAATTTATGATCAGATGATTTAACTTGTTATCAAAACATTAATCATGTTGTTGTCGTAAGTTAATGTTACTTATGAGAGGCAAAAATGATTTGGTAACATTGAGAAACCAAGTGACAACCAAAAACTGGCAAATAAAAACCATAGACTCGAAAAGTGAGTCTTTTTTGCTCCTCTCTCTCTCTCTCATTTATCATCATTCTGTAGCTTGCTGAGTAAAATAAACTCCCTGATGATGACTTCCTGGATTTCCATTCATTATTAGTTCAGAGACATCTACCGATTTTAATGAGAAAATTTCGATTATCTGTTCAGTTGGTAATATCGAAAAGGTGGAAATTTTTATTACTTTTATGATCGATCGATCAATTTTATCTTCCATCTTATATTTATATCTCGATAATCATCATAACAATAATTATCATCTTCTTTCAGCTTTCTCTTTCTTTTCTTTTCGAACTTGTTTTCGAACTTGTTTTCGAAAGGACAAAGTTTGTTTTTCTTTCTCCCTCATATTAATCAAATGTACAGATGAAAAGTTCTAGTCCATTATTGATGAGCATTAACTTCATTGATTTAATGGCAATAATAGGAAATTCATCGCGTGATTGTCAATAATTGTAACTTCAGTTTATTAAATTAACTTTAATCGGAACAATTAAATTGTTGTTGCTTTTGTATATTCATTTCAATGAGCTTTTTGTTTGCTCTTTTTTATGCTAATCAATACAAGAAAATAATCAGACTCAAGCCGAAATTTACTCAGTTTGTTCATTGAGTTAAGTTACCAAAGGATTTCAAAAGTGTCACTAAATGTTATCAGAGTTTAGTGAATTAAATATCAAAAATGAATTTCAATTCTCTGGAACTTCAAGTTACTCAATTTCTGTTGGCTCGATAATCGATTCATTCCATGGGATTGAATCTGATCAAAATTCTGAGTTTTCATCATCTAAACAAAGTTATAGAACAACAATTTATCTATTAGCTTCTTGACACTCAATTTAAAATCGAGTATTTTGTAGTAAAATTTAATTACAATCATTTAATCAGAACACCAAAGGTAAATCAATTTACAGTTTGGTTTACATTTAGATAGATGGAGTTACAAGATCATTGAGTTAACTTTTTTTCTGGTTTGTTTTTGGGTTACAAGTTAATTGTCAAATTGATTTGATTGTAATTGTGAACTTTTTTTTCTCCCTCTCTCTCCAATCTTGTAGTTAATCAATTAGATAATCAGTCTAACAATTAACTTAACTACGAGACAACAAAACACTTGATTCAATTGTCTTTGAACTTTAAACCAGTAAAGTTTGAGACTCAACCTTAATTTGAATAGTTGATTAGTTGATTTGAAATATGTTAACTAATTAACGTAGCTGATTGGTTGATTAGTGGATTTGATTAATTTGATTAGTTTGAGAGAAAATTTATCTTCATCATTAATTTGTATGTATTGATTGGATTAACTTTCTAATTTAATAATCTAAATCACGGCAATTAATTATTTCTATTTACTTTGATAATCAATTGACTATCAGAATGTTTAATCAAAGGTAATTTAAGTTTTTTTAATTAAATGATAATCTGTCATTGGAATTGATCAAAATTGATTAATAAATGTCAAGTTAATCATTTCATGGTAATCAAATTGTGACCCTTTACATAAGGTTATTGCCAAGCTTTCAATTAGTTAATTGTTTTGAACTGGAACATTATTGAAGCCAACAATCAATTCAAGTTAATGTCAGGTTATCTTATTTAAATTGTTAATTGTGATCAAACTGTTTCATAAAGTACTAAAAAAATCACCAAACATTTGATTACAATTAACTATTCAACTGAATTACACAAACACAATCAAATTAACTGTAATCATTTTGTTAACAAAAAAATAATAACATAAACCAACAATATATTGGCAATTAAATTGTGCACACAATTAAAATGACCAATCGTTAAATTGTCACGATAATTGTGAGAAAAAAAAAATAAACCACAAATTAAATGTTAATTCAGTTTAAATTGTTGTCGGTGTTTTTTTTTCATAATCTTGATCTTTAAAAAATTAACCTTTCAGAGATATAAATACAATTAATAGACAATCAGACAATTTAATAACCCAATTAACTAGACTGACCCTGATATTATATTTAATTGACCGTTGATTATTTGTCAATTAATTGTAGACAATTAAAGGTAATAAGCAATAATATTAAAGATTAATTTTAGCCCAAAAATTGGTTCACTAATGATAGGATTAGGAAATGATTTGTTAGTTAATTGTGATTGAAAGTTGGGAAAAAATATAAGTTACTATTTAATTTGTGAGTTGATTAAGAGTAATTTTCGTGTAAATACAATTAAAGAAACATAATTAAAGTGATTTGATTGATTAAAACGGAACACAATTAAAAATAAAGTGAAACTTTTTGTCTCTCATCAAATTGTCACCAGCTAATGATGACAATTTACAATCAAATTGGTTGATTGATTTAATTTTTTTCCCTCTTCTCTCTCACTCCCCAGTATTTGATTGTCTCGATTCTGATAGATTAACAATCTAATTAATTAATTAGTTTGGACCAAAACAATTAAACTAATTTCACCTTGTATTTGACTTGGGCTCACAATTAACTTGCGGTTCATCATTTGATTACTTGATTTGAAACTTTTTTTTTGCTCATACAAATACCTTGATTAATTAATCAGTTTAATTTGATTTAACAATTAAGGGGAAGGTTTCACTTTTCATCAGGCTGATTAAAATCCACCCACAATTAGTACCCAACCGGTAATCAAATTTAACGACAATTAAGTTCCTCATATAAGTTGAGTCCATTTGATTGTTTGATTTAGTTTAATATCGGATTAATAAGTGTAAACAACAACAATTGATTAGTGAGTGATAATCGATTTATATATTGGATTATAAACTGGATTTGATTAACTAATAATCTCAACAATCAATCAATCATGAAAGTAACGATAATAACTTTAGTTGTGCTTCAATTTTGCCATTTAATTTACTCAACCGAGTCAACAATTAACAAGGATAAAAGTTTATCAGCTTCAGAGACTCATCAATCTGAATCATTTGTTGAATTAATGAAAATGGATATCATACCTCAGGTGAGTGATAATTATAACAATTAATTGTCACATGTTGATTGTTATCAGTGAAAATTAATGATAACCTGAAATTCAAGAGTAAATTTAAACAGAAAATTGTGTTTAACAAAATGAAAAATTATCGAAATGATTGAAAGTGAAATTTTATCTCTCTAATGATATTTATTATTATTCATCTGATTTTGTTGATGATTAACTTTTCAGGATGGTTGGGGTCACGGTTGGGGTCATCATGATAAGAAATGTAAAGAGCACGGACATGGACATGGACATGGATGGGGCTGGGATCATGGACACGGAGGTCATGGTGCGTAATTGACATTTCGATTCAATTTGTTCATTTCAATTCGTTTGATGAAATTTCTATTGAAATCGAACTGTTTTTATTCAATCATGTTGATTGAATGTGGAATTGGATGAGAGTCGAATGATAAACAAGAGCTTCAAGTTTAATCTGTTGTATTATTTTTTCAGGTCATGGATGGGGTCATGATTCAGGTCACCATGGTTGGGGATGGGGACATTCTGGTGGCCATGGACATGGACATGGACATGATCACGGCTGGGGATGGGGACACAGTGGACACGGTCATGGACATGGACATGGTAAGAAGTGCAGCCATGATCATGGTTGGGGACATGGAGGCCATGGGCATGGACACGGACACGATCATGGTTGGGGATGGGGGCATCATGGTGGTCATGGAGATGATCATGGATGGGGTTGGGGACACAGTGGACATGGTCATGGACACGGCAAAAAGTGTAGCCATGGCCATGGGCATGGACATGGGCACGATCATGGCCATGGTTGGGGTTGGGCTTAAAAAGCGATCACCTAATCGAACCCTAAATCAATTAAATGTAAAACTTGTGTATAAACTGTTGAAAACAATTTTGTTAACAATTAATGTATAGTTTTTGTAAAAAGTATTAGAATATTAATTAAATTAAATCAGATAAATAAACTAATTTGAATGTTTAATTATTCCAACAGTTGAAAGAAAAGTTTTTCTCAAATTTTACAAAAATTGTAAATTCTAATATGTATCAACTAAAAAGATAACTCAAGATAGAAAATAACAAACAAACAACTAATTACAATTCTACACGAATCTACACTTGATCACGAAAAAATCGAACAATTTAAACTTCCAAGTTAATTGTTGATCAAACTCGTTGATCTTGAAACAAAATCTTAAATCAGATTAGATGATAATAATAATTGGGAGTTTCTGGAAATTAAGTAAATCAACTTTTTCCAGTTAAAAACAATAGGATAACTTTTCGTGATCAAAATCATCAAGTACTCAATTAATTCATATTTACCTTGTCAGTTGAGTTACAATTTGATTGTAATTATCAATTCAACAACAATTAAATCAACTTAAAAGTTACAATTCAATTCTAACAGATGGAGTTACAAGATCGTTGAGTTAACTTTTTTTCTGGTTTGTTTTTGGGTTACAAGTTAATTGTCAAATTGATTTGATTGTAATTGTGAACTTTTTTCTCCTCTCTCTCCAATCTTGTAGTTAATCAATTAGATAATCAGTCTAACAATTAACTTAACTACGAGACAACAAAAAACTTGATTCAATTGTCTTTGAACTTTAAACCAGTAAAGTTTGAGATTCAACCTTAATTTGAATAGTTGATTAGTTGATTTGAAATATGTTAACTAATTAACGCAGTTGTAATTATCTTAATCATTTGTTTGAACAAATGTATTTAATTAGCTTCCTGATTGTAGAAATTTTTTTATCTTTTCAAAAACAATTACTACAATCGTCCTTGTTAATTATCAATTAATTTTGCCCATTTAAAGTAAATAATTGTTCATTGTGATTAAATCAACTTTGCAATTCAGTTTATTATAATAAAAATTTGAGTTTGATTAATTGAATTATTATATTTCTATTAATCATCAGTTAATCATGATAATCGATAGTAAAAATTTGATAACAACTTGTAAAAAAAAGTTACATTGGGAATTCACAGTCATTAATTGATTACGTATACATATTGACAATCAATTTGTGTTACAAGGTTCAACATTTAATTATCATGCATGGCTAATAAATTGTTAGCATTTGATTAGACGGCAAAAAAAACTCTTAAACAAATAGTAGTAGCTTTTTGTTGATTAACGATTTGAATCATAAACGAAATCATAATCTCAAGTATTTGTCAAAGTTTCCATAGAGAAATCAACGTATCCAAATGATAATCCACGACTAAATCCATCCTGAGAATAATAATAAAGAAAAAAAATGAAAAAATTATTAGTCCATTAAATTCAATATCATTACCAATATCATCATCATCATCACCATGATCATCATCATAATCGTTAAAAGTGATCATCGCTAATCGATGACGTAACTATTGATGTGATGATTGAAGTTTTTAAATGATGAAGAAAAAAACATTGATGATTACTGGTTTTAAATTGTAGTTCTTTACGTTTCTCTCTCTCTCTCTCTCTCATCAATTACAGAGTGGGTAAAGAGGGTATCAGGAGGGTGGGTGGGGAAATGATGCGTCAAGTCTAAGATTAAATGGTTTGTTCTGAAAAAAAGATAAACTCTTTCAAGTCGACAGCGCACTTAATGGGAAGGTTAATCTGCTCTTGTTGGGAAACTTTTCTCAATACTTTTCTGTGTACAATATAACCTAAAATTTTCACCGGAACTTGATTCTAATGCTTAACCTGCGGTGCAATTGGTTATGAGTTACATTCAATTTGACCTGGCACAGGTAGAAAAAAGGGAGAACCCAAATGGATGATAAATAAATAATATAAAAAGAAAAGATTCAAGTCCGGTTTGGTGATGGTTCACAGCTAATTTCACTTGAAAGACATAATATAATTGTGCACAATGATAATACATGATGATGATGAATAAATTTTAACAACAATACTACTAATTGTTAATGGTTAAGCCTTTGGTTTAACATCGTTAGTAAATTGTTGTTTGTTGTTGGTATGACAGTTGTAAAGCACAAATTGTGTGATGATACTTAATCATTTTGAAAGAAAATTTTTCCTCCTTTTCTAAATTGTACTGCTAATTGATGTACCATCGTGTATTATCAAAGTATTAATATTATCGTTTTTGTATCTTTTCGTGTTACTTGAACTTTTATGAGCTCGTTGGTGTTGTGGTTCATGTCTTGAAATGAATGTAAGTATGAGAAAAATGTTCTGAACAAAAGATGAAACAAGTATGAGAAATGGAAAGAGAGAAAGAGAGAGAAAGAGAGGGAGCTGAAGATAAGCTGAGTGTGAACAAGAATGGTAGGGAAGTGATGAGCAGTCAGAAAACAGGAAGAAAAAAAGTGGCAGAAAAAAGATGATGATGATGATGATGATGGCGGTGGTTGTAGAGGTGATGGTTGTAGAGAAAAAGAAAAGGGAACAAAATGAGTTTTAGTAAAACACATACTCTCATTTCAGCAAGTTTCTTGTCAATATCGCCGATTGCTTGTTCCAATTGTTTAGCCTCAAAGGATTCCATTCCAAATGGATCATTGATTTTATTCGTTTCCGGGTCAAATGGTTCAAATCCGAAAATATCTTTATCTTCATTCGTATCTTGATTATGTCCGTTGTCTATTCCATTGGTGTGAGTCAGGTTATTGGCATGACCGTTACCTTGATAACTATTTATTGGACCGTTACTGGTTATCGTTGTCATTGTTGTGGTTGTTGACGCAGATGATGATGATAACGTTGACACTGCTGCTGGTTGATTCGGTGTCGTGATCATTGATAAGGGTGGAGACGATGATGAGGATGATACAGATGAATTGGATGAAGATGAATTTGTTGATGACGAAGATAAAGGTGAGCCAATTAAGGCTGTTGTTGTTGTTGTTGTTGACGTCGCTGTGTTTGATTCATCAAATGACCTTGGATCAAACTTTTGATCATCGAGGCTTAAATTTTCTAACTTACGACCAACAATTGGTTGATCGTCAATATCTAACAAACTAACAGTTGGTTGTAGATGATGACTTCGATTAGCAAACCTTTGGACTGGAGGTGGAGGTGGTTGCAGAGGTTGAAGTTTGGTATTGATAATCTCAGAGCCATTCGTTAAAATAGAGGAGCGACCAGAGGTAGAAGATTTGATCGATGACGCTGATTTATTTTCGTAGTTTGTAAGGCGATTCTTGAGCGATCTATTTTCAGCTTCTAGTTCTTGGACTTTTTTATGAAGAACCATAATTTGTTTACGCATTTCCAAATCTCGACCAGAAGTCTCAAGGAATCTACGATAGGCCAACTCGAATGCTTGACCAATGGTTAGGGTAATCTCTTCGGAAAGTTTATCAGAAACGAAAACAAAACAACTGTGACGATTTGAATCAGCCTCTTTTGCGATGAAACTGAAAAATTTAGGATCCGATTTATCATCAGCACAGTAAGAAATTCGATGAAGAGGATATTGGAAAGAAATTTTTTTGCTCTTTGGATCTTGAATGGCAACTCCATCCACTGAAATTGTTAACTCGACCTTGGGTGTTTTCGTTCCTTCTGCTCGACGTAAGTGTTGACTAAATTTCATCTTACGAATTCCCTCTTTAACAACATCAATACCTTTGGGTTGGTCAACTTCCGTTTTACCTAAAAACTAATAGAGTAGAAGTGAATAAAAAAAAATAATTTTACCAAAGCAAAAAGAATAAAAATGAAATGTTAATCAAGTTGCAAATCACAGACGAAAATTTTCACACAATTTTCTTATTTATGTGTAGGCTCATGGACATGAGAGATGAACACTGGTGGTAAATGAGAGAGAGAGATATTCAATTGACATACTTTGACAAGATAGGCAACATGGCCGTGTTGAAGTGCGTCTGGTGGATGAATCCAATTGGGTTTACCATGATTTTTGGTCCATTTATTACCTCCATTGGAACTACTCCATCGTAGAAGTGATCCTTGTTTCATCATGATACTTTTACACGAACAAAACAAAAAGGTTTGTCAAACGTTGGATAAAAACACTCACAAAAAAGACACACGGGAAGAGAGAGAGAGAGAGAGCAAGAGTAGAAAAAAAGTTAGAGGTAAAAAAAGGTGGAAATGATGGAGAAATTAACCAACAAGGTGATGAGTTATTAGTAGAAGAGAATAAACAAAATAAAAAACAAGAGAAATTCACTAACGATACACAGAGAGAAATAAAAACAAAACCTATAAGAGAGAAAAAGAGAGAGAGAGAGAGCGAGAAACAGGGAAACAAAAATGGGAAAGAGAAAAAAACAGAACAATTTGAGGAAGAAAAAGTCTCACAAAAAAAAGATACACAAAAACAATCAAATAAAATACACAAAAATTTCAAATGAGAAGAAAAAAGAGAATAGAATAAAAAAAACTCTTAATTATAACAATGGAAAAAGAGTTAACAAGATGAAGTGAACGAGAGAATAGAAGGAGAAAAAAGTGAGTGAGAGAGCAAACAGAAAAAAAAGGAAAAATAGATTAAACTAATAACGGATTTGATTTAAATGATTTAAACTGCAAATTGAAGTTAATAATTGTTGATGATGAAGATTATGTGGTGAATATAATGATAATGATGGCGACTGGAAAATCACAAACATTCACAATCAACAACAGGGAAAAAAAAGTTTGATTGTTGTTGTTGGTAAAATAACAGAAAAATAAATGTTGAACATGTAACGTTAGTTGCAAGTGGAAAACTGTCAAAGTGGAATCAAGAACCGCCTTTATATTCTAGCAAAGTGGCTCCATCTGTTGAATGGAAATAAACACCAAGTGGAAAACAAAATTTTCTCTTTCATTTCGAACTTGGCGGAAAATGAACTTCTCATAGGTGGAGCTTCTCCGGTTTCCATGGAAACGAAACGGAAAAGGAAGTTTACCTTTAGCAAGAGAAAACCGATTGATGTTTCGCATTTTTTTCTCAAGCTGTGGTTTAGCTGGACAAGTTGTTTAATGTAATTTAAATTGAATTTGATTATTTTATTTCTATTCAATTTGTTGTTAAGTTAATCAAGCTTATTTATTTGTAATTTCGGTGTTAAAACCATTGGTGTAAAATTAGTAATCTTTAAAAATGCCTGTAAGTATTTCTACTGATGGAATTTACTTTCTCTCCCAAGTCTCTTTCTCTCTCACATTGACCACCATTTCTCTATCTCTACGATGTGGTTGTATTTTTTTTTCTTGATTGTGTGTTAGTCGGTTAATATTATCAGTGTTTTCTTGTCCTGGTCATCGATGTGTTTTAGTTTTTGTTGTTTGTTTTAGAGATTCTAATTGTTGGTTTTTTTTTTCTATGTTTACAGTTAGCAAGAGATTTACTACATCCAAGTCCAGATGAAGAAAGAAGGAAATGTAAACTTAAGCGATTAGTTCAACACCCTAATTCTTATTTTATGGATGTTAAATGCCCTGGTAAGTTATTGTGTTGATTCAGTCTTTTTTTTGCCTGATTCAGTTTGGTTTGACTCTATCATCTCACATGAGAAACGTTTGAGCTCTTATCTAACCTGAATCATGAATTTTTATCTTTAATGATATTTACTCACCTTGAATTAAGTTTCTAATTATGTTTTTCTTTTTTATTCTCTTTTCATGACACAATCTTGGTGCTTTGATTTGACTTCATCTTTGGTACCATTTTCAAGGTTGCTGGACTATTACAACTGTTTTTAGCCACGCTCAAACTGCTGTACAGTGTAAGGGTTGCGCTACAGTTTTATGTACATCTACTGGAGGTAAAGCTCGATTAAAGGATGGCTGTTCGTTTAGAAAGAAGCCCTATTAGACTTCAACTTACAATTGACTATCCACTTAAGTTGTTATATTGAAATGTCGACTGTACACACACACACACTCTCTCTCTCTTTTAGGATTTTGCGTTTGGTCAACCAATATATTTTGTGGTCAACCTCTTCAACTCTGTTTAGATTCATGAAGAAATAAAAATTTATTTACATGAATCAAGCTAATTTAAAGGTCTGTCATCATGTCAATTCACTAACAACCCAAGTTGATAGTCAACTGTAAGACTTATGGATTAAAAACAAAAAACGAAATAAAAAAAATTTGCTAACAAATTCTTCTGATTGTAAAATCACACATATTAACTAAACATTTAAGGTTTTTCTTTATGAAATTAAATTTGATTAAAAATTTAATTGAATTGAAAAAAATGAGTTCCTTCCATTGAGATTACATCAGGAAATGAATGTTGTTTTTTTAAAAAGTAAGAAATGGAATCAATTAAACAATTAAACGGAGAAAACGCTAATATTGTGGTCAAAAGAAACGGAGACTAATCTGGTTCCATCGGCGTTGTAACGGCAGCACGAAACTTGATCTTTATGTTCAGAGAAAGTGTGAAGAGCTTCCTTATTACCCAATTCCCAGATTTTGACCGTTTTGTCTGAAGAACTAGAAGAAAAAAAGAGAATAGAATAATAGAAAAGAATAGAAAATAAAAAATCACCTGGAACGGAAAATCTCGTAAACAATTAACACGAAACAAACGCTCACCTTGAAGCGAAATGTTTTCCATCCGGAGAAAAGGTGACATTTAACACCCACGATCCGTGACCTGAAAGGGTTGATATTGGATCTGCTTTGTCAACCTCGAAAATTTTGATGTTATAATCATCGGAAGCGGAGGCCAAATATTTACCATCGGGCGAAAAGGCGATTGATCTAACAGGCATCGCATGAGGTTCTAATGTGTTGATGACCATTTTAGATTCAATATCAAAGATTTGTATCATCCCATCAATGGCACCGGTGGCGATTGTCTTACCATCGGGACTAAATGCAAGGGCGAGGGTAAATTTACCGCTAGTATCAATGGTGGTGACCAATTTACCCGTTTCACTGGAAAACATATTGACCTTAGAGTTACAACCAGTGGCAACAAGTTTAGAATCAGGTGAGAAACAAATTGTCCATGAGTCAACTGGTCCAGCGTCAATACATTGAACTTGATTACCAGAAATGAGATCCCAAAGTCTAATATGACTATCAAGTGAAGCGGAAGCGGCGATATTACCTTCATTGTTAATATCGATCGACATGACACCCAAAGCGTGTCCTTCAAAGATATATTTCAATGCGAACGTATCATCAACCCTGAGAAAAGAAAAGAGGGGAAGCAAAAGAAAAGAGAACAAAATTAGAAAAGAAAATGAGGACAAAGTAATAAAGAGTTTGCAAGCACTAAACAGAAAAGAATTTCACTGATTCATAGAGAACACAATTAACTAATTACAAACCATTGCCAGGCTTTAACAGTATCATCGACACTACCGGTTACAATAAATTGATTCTCATTGTTATTGTTTTCCTTTGATCCTTTGCTGATTCCAAGACTCCAAATTGGTCCGTCGTGAGCTTGTTCCTCTCGGTGAATTACCTGAAACTAGAAAAAAGATCAACCAAAGAAGAAAAAGAACAAAAATTAGTTTGAAATAAGAATTGAAATAATAAAGAACAAAACAATTTACCATTTTATCTTTTTTAACCACAATTAGTGAAGAAAATAAAATGTCACATTTACTCATATGTCGATTTTAAAAACTCGCGGTTGACCCAAAATTCTTTCGAACGCCATCTCTTGGCTGCCGAAGAAAAATACGACGAATCTGTAGTTTCTTCAAGAAACTTTTCTTTTTGATTGTTATAGTGATTTAATTGATGAAATTGTGCTTGTTCTTCGTTTTATCTTATTTCGTTTGGACCTAACTTCTATTACGATCACATTATAATTTTTGTTTGTAATTTAGTTGTTTCCAGTTAATAGTAATCATGACCGAAGTTATTAACAAAAGGAAACATCAGTGCGCTCGAAAATTGGGATTTTCTTTCCCGTCGATGAAAACAACGTAAAATGTACAAAATATCAATCATCGAATTACATTTAACAGGAGAAGATGACGGACTAATTCTGGAAGTTGTTTGTTCTCAAAATTGATACATTTCATCATTGTCCGAACTGATTGACTAATTGAGATTTTTTCATCGATAAATTGGTTAATTAACAATAATTCCAATAATTTTCGTATTTTTACAGTTCGTTTTTAAAATTTTACGATTTTAGCAAAAGTTCAATAACTTTTTCCACACAGGTTAATACTTTTCATTCTTATTTTGAACAATCACATTAATTGTTTACGAACCAATTTTGTTGACCAAATATGAGAGGTCTCACTGTATCTTGAGCCTTACCAAGATTCGATATTATCGGGTATTCACACCTGATAATATCGAATCCATAGTTGTACGAGTAGCTACTTATTACTCTTTGCTCTTATAGGATTAGTTCAAGACTTGAAATTCTCTCGCTTGGCTTTGTCTTTTATCATTTTGTTGTTTAATTTCTACTGATTTAATTGATTATTTTTCTTTTTGTGTCTTAATTCATTTGGATCTATCGTCTATTATGACCACATCATAATTGTTGTTTGTCACTCTGTTGTTTCCAGTGAATAATCAATAGTAATCATGGCCGATGAGGCAGCTCGTATTCAACAATATGGGTACAAAACGGTAAGTTTTTCATTTCTTTCCTTTTATTTTTTTTATTTGATTTTAATGTTATTGTTTCTTAATAATTTTTTGTTTTCTTTTGTTTTTTTTTCTTATCAGAATTCTAATTTGGTTCTTCAAGCTGATACAAGGCTTAGTGAGAAAAGACCTAGAGATGAGGCTACTGGTGTAGTTAGCTCTCTTTCTGGTAAACTTGGAGGATCAAGAATGGGAGATAAAAATCAAAGGTCTAAACCCTCTGTTAGTAAGGAAGAAGAGGATAGAAAACGGAAGAAAAAGGCTAAATCTTCGGTGTATGATATGGGCTCATCTTTTAGCTATAGTATTGTCAGTGATCTTGAAGGAATGGGAATGTCATATACTCCCAAGACCCCAGAGACAAGGCAAACCTTAGAGGCCTTGTTGAAGTTCATCCATGATATTTTAGGAGATCAACCTAGAGATGTATTGGGTGGTGCTGCTGATGAAGTATTGGCTTCTTTGAAAAGCGAAAAGACGGAGAAACTCAAACAGAAAGAAATTTGTGATTTACTTGGTAAGCTTTCTTCAGAGCAGTTTAATATTTTATTTAATTTAAGCCGTAAAATAACTGACTTTAAACTTGATGAATCAAATAATGCAACTGAACAGGATATAGACGCTATTGGTGTCAACGTACAGCTTGAAGAGAACGACGAAGAAGAGGAAGATATCGATGGAGTTATAGACGACAGTGAAGATGATGATGGCGATGAAGGTGAAGAGACAGGTGAAGGTGATACTCTTCAAGCAACCTACCTTAACACTTCTACTGGTAGGAAAAGTTCAGCTCCTGTCGTTAAACCGACTGAATTTTTACATCCAATACAAATCGATGCTTATTGGCTTCAACGAAACCTAAACAAAAGTTATAAAGATCCAGTTGAGGCCAAAAAGAAAGCAGCTGAGGTTATGGATATTTTAAAAACAGCTTCAGATGATCGAGATGCTGAAAATAAATTAGTTAGGCTTTTAGATTTTAATTCGTTTGATTTCATCAAACTTCTTCGTCAAAATCGTCAAAAGATTCTTTATTGTACTTTACTTGCTTCTTCTCAAAGTGCTGACGAAAAAGCGAGACTCCGATTACGAATGGCCTCAGATCCCGAATTGAAGTCTTACCTATCCATGTTGGAAAGTACTGGCGAGAAAATTGATTCAGGTAAAGTAGATCAAGGAGAGAAACGAACAACTAGCCGAGAAAAAGTTCCTGACATCGAAATAGACAAAGAAACTAAAAACCCACTTTCGAAAGTCAAAATGCTAAACCTTGAAGATCTTGCATTCACCCAAGGATCTCATTTTATGGCTAATAAACGGTGTCAATTACCAGAAGGTTCATTCAGAAAAACAGAAAAAGGTTATGAAGAGATTCATGTTCCATCTCTCAACCCAAAACCTTTCGGTGAAAATGAGGTGAGTAGATTATTCAAAATTCTTAATCATTTATCTTCGTGCTTACCCCAAATATATTGAATCACAATATATTCGGTAATATTAAGAAGAAGATCAAAAGGTTTCGAATATTGAGATTTCAATCTTCATGTTGAGTTTTCTTAACTTTTAAATTAACATTTTTGTTTTCTCTCTTCTAGCATCTTATGCATATTGATAAATTACCTGATTATGCCCGACCAGCTTTCATTAAATTGAAGCACCTTAATCGAATTCAATCAAGAGTCTACTCCTCTGCCATGGAACGAGATGAAAACTTGTTGATTTGTGCTCCTACTGGAGCTGGTAAAACAAATGTCGCTCTTTTGTGTATGTTGAGAGAGATTGGTAAACATGTGAATCCCGATGGAACTATTAACGTAGACGATTTCAAGTGTATCTATGTTGCACCGATGAGATCATTGGTACAAGAGATGGTTCGAAATTTCAGTGACCGGTTAGAATCTTATGGTATTAAAGTGGCCGAATTAACTGGAGATCATCAACTGAGTCGTGAACAAATAAACGAGACTCAGATAATTGTATGTACACCAGAAAAATGGGATATTATCACGAGAAAAGGCGGTGAACGTAGTTTCACACAAATTGTTCGTCTTATTATTTTCGATGAAGTTCATTTACTACACGATGATCGAGGTCCAATTATTGAAACTTTGGTCGCCCGTATCAGAATGCCGTTGAGAAATCAAGAGACCTCTCAGGATACAATCAGAATTGTGGGCCTAAGTGCTACTCTTCCCAATTATGAGGATGTTGCTGAATTTCTAGGAGTCAATCGAAAGACAGGACTTCACTATTTCGACAACAGTTTCCGTCCTGTTCCACTTAAGCAACAGTTTATTGGTATCACTGAAAAGAAGGCAATAAAGAGATACCAATTAATGAACGAAATCCTTTATAAAAAGGTGGAAGAACAAGCGGGTAAAAATCAAGTTCTAATTTTTGTTCACTCGAGAAAAGAAACTGGTAAAACAGCTCGATCTTTGAAAGATATGTTTTATGATAATGATAAATTGCACATATTTCTCGAAGATGGTTCAGCTTCCTTGAAAACCTTAAAAGAAGGAGCCGATAAAGTTAAAAATCTTGAACTGAAAGACCTCTTACGTCATGGTTTCGGCATCCATCATGCTGGTATGTGTACAAGTGACCGTGTCCTGGTCGAATATTTATTTGGTAAAGGTCATATTAAAGTTCTCGTATCAACAGCAACTCTTGCTTGGGGTGTCAATCTACCAGCTCACACTGTGATCATCAAAGGAACTCAAATTTACAATCCTGATAAAGGAAGATGGGCTGAACTTGGAGCCCTTGATGTACTTCAGATGCTCGGTCGAGCCGGTCGACCTCAATATGGTTCCGAAGGAGTAGGTATTCTGATCACTCAACACAGTGAACTTCAATACTATTTGTCTCTTCTAAATCAACAACTACCAATTGAAAGTCAAATGGTTTCAAAATTACCTGACCTACTCAACGCCGAGATCACTTTAGGTAACATTCGGAGTATCAAAGAAGCAAATAAATGGCTTGGCTACTCTTATTTGTACATACGAATGTTAAAAAATCCATCTCTTTATGGTATCAGTGGGGATGATGTAAGTGAGGACCCAACTCTACAACGACATTTATCCAGTCTAGTATTTACTGCTGGATCCCTGCTTGATAAAAGTGGGTTAGTTAAATTTGATCGAAATCGTGGTTACTTCCAAGGAACTGAATTAGGTCGAATAGCAAGTCACTTCTACTGTACTCATCAAACGATGGCCACTTATAATCAACTATTAAAACCGACGCTCAGTGAGATTGAGCTCTTTCGTGTCTTCTCATTGTCTGGCGAATTTAGAAACATTACCATCAGAGAAGAGGAAAAACTCGAATTGCAGAAATTAATTGAAAGAGTTCCAATTCCAGTCAAAGAAAGTATCGAAGAGCCAAGTGCTAAAGTGAATGTCCTTCTTCAGGCTTATATTTCACAACTTCGACTTGAAGGACTTGCCCTAATGGCGGACATGGTTTATATCTCTCAAAGTGCTGCTCGACTAATGAGAGCCATTCATGAGATTGTCCTTCATCGTGGTTGGGCTCAACTGGCCGATAAAACTCTCTCTTTGTGTGAGATGATAGACAAACGAATGTGGCTCTCAATGTCACCTTTAAGACAGTTCAAGAAGATTCCTGACGATGCGATAAAAAAATTGGAGAAAAAGAACTTTCCATGGGAACGTTTCTATGACCTTGGGCCTAATGAAATTGGTGAATTGTTAAGAAACCCAAAGAACGGGAAGCTTGTCCATCATCATGTTCATCGTTTCCCTAAACTAGACTTGACTGTTCATATTCAACCAATAACTCGAGCAACTTTAAAAGTAGAGTTAACAATTACTCCAGATTTTCAATGGGATGTTAAGTATCATGGTAAATCAGAAGGATTCTGGATTCTCATTGAAGATGTTGACCAAGAGATAATCTTACATCACGAGTTTTTCCTTTTAAAACAAAAGTTTGCCCAAGATGATCACATTGTCAAATTTTTCGTTCCTCTCACTGAACCATTACCACCTCATTATTTTATTCGAGTTGTTTCAGATCGTTGGTTAAACTCCGAAACAGTTTTTCCAATCTCCTTTAGACATACACTTCTTCCAGAGAAATACTTACCACCAACAGCTTTACTTGACCTTCAACCCAAGAAAGTTTCCGAAGCTTTCGACAAATTTCCTGCATACAAATCGTTGTACAAAGATGAGTACTTCAACCCAATACAAACTCAAGTTTTCGATGCTTTGTACAATAAAAATGATGACAATGTTTTCATTGGTGCTCCAACTGGTTCAGGTAAAACTGTTTGTGCCGAGTTTGCGATGCTCAGATTATTTTCTAACAACTCAGACGGACGAGTTGTCTATGTCACACCGAAACATGAACTCGCCGAGATAGTCTTTGCTAATTGGAAACAGAGATTTGGTAAATTGCTTAATAAAAATGTGGTTATGCTCACCGGTGAAACGGCCGCTGATCTCAAGTTATTGGCCAAAGGAAACATCATAATCAGTACACCCGAAAATTGGGATATTCTTTCTCGTCGATGGAAACAACGTAAAAATGTACAAAATATCAATCTTTTCATCGTTGATGAACTTCATTTAGTAGGAGGAGATGACGGACCAATTTTGGAAGTTGTTTGTTCTCGAACTCGATATATTTCATCGCAGATAGAAAAACCGATTCGTATTGTAGCACTTTCATCATCTCTAACCAACGCTCGTGATGTTGCTGAATGGCTCGGATGTAAATCTGCTACTTTTAATTTTCATCCAAACATCCGACCAACTCCACTCGAACTGCATATTCGTGGTTTCAATCAAACACATAATGCCACTCGTCTCATGTCCATGTCCAAGCCCGTTTACCAATCAATCATCAATTCCTCTCCAAACGAGCCTGTGATTGTTTTTGTTTCTTCAAGGAAACAAACAAGAGTCACTGCGATTGATATTCTAATGTACACTGCTGGTGATGATAATCGCAATCGATTCTTACATTGCTCTGGAGAGGATATGAAACATTACGTCGAAAAACTTAGCGATCTTACTTTGAAAGAAATTATTGTCCATGGTGTTGCTTTCCTTCACGAAGGAACCAATCAAATTGATCGTCGTATTGTTGAAGAGCTATTTAATGTTGGTGCCATTCAGATTGTCGTGGTTTCAGCATCACTTGCATTCAGTTTAACAATCAAATCTCATTTAGTGATCATCATGGATACACAAATTTACAATGGAAAAGTTCATGCCTATGAGGATTATCCAATTTCAACAGTTCTTCAAATGATCGGGCGGGCCAATCGTCCACTTAAAAACGAACAAGGTGTTTGTGTTTTGTTTTGTCAGGCAGCGAAAAAAGATTATTTCAAAAAGTTCCTTTATGAGCCTTTACCTGTTGAAAGTCACCTTGATCATTTTCTTCACGATCATTTAAATGCTGAAATTGTTACCAAAACAATTGAGAACAAACAAGATGCAGTCGATTATTTAACTTGGACCTTTTTGTATCGACGAATGACTCAAAATCCTAATTATTATGGATTAACAGGTGTCACTCATCGGCATCTTTCTGATAGTTTATCTGAACTGGTAGAAAACACGCTTAATGATTTGGAGCAATCGAAATGTATCAGCATCGAAGAAGATATCGATGTGTCACCTCTTAATCTGGGAATGATTTCTGCCTATTATTACATCAATTACTCTACAATTGAACTGTTCAGTTTATCTCTTAGTAACAAGACCAAAATCAAAGGACTTATTGAGATAATTAGTTCAGCAACTGAAATAAAGTATTCCTATTCGACATAAAGAAGACATTATCTTGCGACAACTTTCATCTAAAGTTCCAAACAAAATTCAAAACGCCAAATACACGGATCCTCATTTCAAGACCAATCTACTGTTCCAAGCTCACTTATCTCGAATGACCTTACCCGCTGAACTTCAATCTGACACCGAGCATATTTTAACTAAATCAATTCGTCTCATTCAAGCTTGTGTTGATGTCCTCTCGTCAAATGGTTGGCTAAGTCCCGCTTTAGCTGCCATGGAATTGGCTCAAATGGTTACTCAGGCTGTTTGGAATCGCGATTCTTACCTCAAACAATTACCTCATTTTACCTCTGAAATTATCAAAAGATGCACCGAGAAAGGAGTTGAATCCATTTTTGATATCATGTTAATTGAAAATGACGATGATAGGAATAAACTTCTTCTTCTCGACGATGCTAAGATGGCCGATGTAGCTCGTTTCTGTAACCGTTATCCGAACATTGAATTGAATTTTGAAGTTTTAGATAAAGATTCAATATCTTCTGGAGATTCTGTTAATGTAGTAATTCAATTGGAGAGAGAAGATGAACTAACTGGACCAATAATTTCACCTTTCTTCCCTCAGGTGAGTTTTTGATTTGTTTTTCACAGAAAAGAATTGAATTGATTGTTGTTTATTCTTTAAAACTTTTTTCTTCATCCAAAGTTTTAATCTTTTTATTGTTTTAAGAGATTCGTTAGTAATTTTTTGTTTTATTTTGTTCTGTTTATTAATCAATAGAAACGAGAGGAAGGTTGGTGGCTTGTTATTGGTGAACCAAAATCAAATTCACTTATTTCCATCAAAAGGATAACTTTGGCACAAAAACAAACAGTTAAATTGGACTTTATTGCTCCTTCGCCTGGTGATTACTCTTATACTTTATATTTCATGTCGGATGGATATTTGGGATGTGATCAGGAATATAAAATCAACATCAAAGTTGACCAAGGAGATCGAGGAACCAAACGACGTTCCAGTGATAGTGATTGATTAATAAAGACAGAAAAAAAGTTAATTTAGCTTGGACTCAACTTGAATGTATTAGTATTTTTTGTCATCATTTCCATCACCATTGAATATTGTTATTCCTCCATTTATATCTCGCAAATCCATCATTTTGTCATCACAAGAGAAAAGTTTTACAACATAAACTTGACCATCAACATTATTTATAAAAAAACAAAGACACACAAAAGATACTAAATTAAATAACATGGGTCGAAGTTTAATATACATGTAATAAGAAAATAAGAAGAAATAAAATTAATGTCAATCTTGACAAGAAAAAATTCAAGATAAAATGTCAACTTTAACAACAAAACTTTTACACCTTCCATCTACACCTTCATTCACCTTTATTTTCCTTAATCATCAACCTGATCATCATAAAAGAAAACAATTGTCAACTTTATTCTCTTATCTTGTTGTTAATTATCATCAATTTCTCAGTCATCTTAATCAATATTATTCTAATCAAACATCATATTTTCTTATTTATTGTAACAGAATTTTAATCGTAAAAGTGTCAAACTGGATACTCGAAAAGTTAATTCAATCTTTAATCGAATTGAATATTTTATTGAAAATTCACCAGCTTATTGTTCAGAAAAGTTTTACAAAACATCAACCTCATCATCTTGTGCAACCTCATCACTATCATCATCATCATCATCATCATCATCATCACCTTCATCCTCATCTCAATGCACAATGACTAGTCGTTCATCAATTGGACACTCTAAACATCAACCAAATATTCATTGTAATCAATCACAAGAAAATAATCGTCAATATCAACGTTCATTTAGTGAAGATTTAGAGCCGTCCAAAATTTTGGAAACTGGTGATACAAGTTGTTGTCCCACGGATGCACCAACCATCGCCCAAGCACTATGGCGTCCCTTATGGCCTCCTGGATGGCGTCCAAGAGGTTCATCATCTTCTTCAACTAATAAGTGTACCACAAACACGAAAAACTTTCATAATAACATTAACAGTAGCAAACGTTCAACTGTTCAAAGCAATAATAATAATCATGGCCGAAGTTATTGACAAAAGGAAACATCAGTAAGATCTAAAATTGGGATTTTCTTTCTCATCGATGAAAACAACTTAATTTTCAAAAGATCAATCGTCGAATTAAATTTAGCAAGAGGAGATGATCGTCGTATTGTTGAAGAGCTATTTAATATTGTAGCTATTTATATTGTCGTGGTTTCAGCATCACTTTCATTCAGTTTAACAATCAAATCTCATTTAGTGATCATCATGGATACACAAATTTACAATGGAAAAGTTCATGCATATGAAAACTTGAGGACTATCCAATTACAACAGTTCTTCAAATGATCGACGGGCCAATCGTCTATGGTGTTTGTGTTTTGTTTTGTCAAGCAGCGAAAAAGAACTTTTGAGTGTTATTATATTGTGTTTCGATTTTTATTCATCAATGAGATATGGAAGATGGTTGAAATCTTTATAAAAACAATGTTTCATGAAATCGAATCCATAACAAATTGGTTCGCAAGTATTCACCAATTTAGGCCATTCGGTGGGTTCGTTTTCACAATCGTAATATATTACAATTGATCGATTCTCGACACAAAATTTGGACAGAAAATCAGCTGATTTTTCAGTTACATTAACACATGTTCTCAAGTCCAATATTTTCAACTTTGGTAATAATTTTACCAATTCTTCTAAATTACTATCATTAATCTCATTCATATTTCTGATCCCAAGATGATGTAAATTAGGAAATTTGGAAAGTAGTCTTTGTAGTAATGACCACGAAAAATCTGTATCCTAAATAAAAATAATTAAAGAAAAAAATAATAATCTTATAAACATTTATCACTCGATGATTAACTTACATTATCGAAAACCAAATCTCTTAAATTGTAATTCTTTATCGATTCATTTACAAAAATATCCTCTGCCCAGTCCCCAATGAAAGCGCTTTCCAAAGATGGACAAAAATCCATGAAATGAAAACCGGCGACCAAATCTGAACTAAATTCAAGAATCTTTAACGAAGACAAATTCGGTCCATTGTAAGAAACTTGGTCCTCTATAAATCGTAAAAAATATAAAACATATTACAATCGAAAGATATTTCAAGTTGAATCTCACCTCCATAGAGCTCCAAGTGAAGTCGCTTCAGATTTGGAAAATAATCAATAAATGAAGGTAAATTTAAATCATAACAGTGCCAGTAAACTTGTTTCAGCTGATCAGGTCGAAAAACTTTTGTATAATCGAGATCAAAACATCCTGAAGAATACATTTCGATGTTTTCAAATTTAAAATCTTCTTCAATGGAAATACAATTATCAATCAGTCCTTTTATTTTAGGATTTTTGTTGAAATTACCAAATGTAAGATGATCAGGCAACGAAATCTCTATAATCTATCAAAAAATTGAAAAATCAGTAAAAACGTCAACTTAATTTATCAATTCATTAATTACCTTAAGATTCGGAAACGATTCCATTAAATTGTAATCTTTCCAATCCGTACGATAATTTATACACAATGAGTCCTTATCAATGTAATCATTTTGATCTTTGAATGAAAAAAATTGGAAACAAATTAATTAAAATCATAATCGAGCAATTAGAAATTGTCTTACCATTTATCAAACGAAGATATTTTACTTGATTAAGTCTCGGCGTAATTAAATCGGACCATCTCGAACAAACTTAAGAACCAATTGTAAATAGGCATTAGAATTTCATCATCTCAACGGAATCTTAATCTTACCTTTAGACAATCGAATCAAATCTTTGGCCTCATGAACATTTTCGAAAATCTTCCAAAGACAATTATCTGGTAAATTATTGAATGACATAATTATAATTCCATTTATTAAATATTTAAAACTTGGACAAAAAACTGAGAAAGAAGTACAAATTTACTCGAGAAACAGCTGATTAATTACTAAGAACAAGCGCTTTTTTTGGATGAGACAAAAGGAGTGTTTTTAACGCGTTTAATAGGTCGCGTAGGAATAATTCTGGACAGAGATGTTGTCAATGGTTAGTTCATGAACTTTGTCTTCAAAGATTCAATTGGTTTCACTTTCATTCTAAAACGTGCGATTAAAATTATAATAATTGAGTAATAATTACGTGAGTGATTATCCTCGCTGATTTCACGAATTTTGTCAAATTTTCCAAGAAACAACTGATTAGCTTGATTACTATCAATTTTATATTTTAAAATGAATTTGATGCTCTCCGAGATGTGGTAACGATTCCAATAAATATTAGAATTCTTTCCGATTATTAACGATTCGATTAAAATTTTCGAATGAAAATGATATTATTTTATAACTCGATTTATTCATGATTATCTTATCGATTGATATTTAAAACAGAAATTAAATTGGTTTAGAATTTGCTAGTTTGATTGAAAACTATTACCTCAATTGCATTTTTTACGTCGAGTGTATTTATTTATATAGATATAAACATACAAAAGAAACTGGGAATTAAATCACATGGGCCGAAGTTTCAATTTTCACTTTTCAGTGGAAAATAAATCGGTGGCTCATATGACCGATCGAGGTAGAACTCAGGTCGATTATTTGACGACTGTCAATAGTTATCTCACGAGGCATAATAAATCTCTATTTGATTGCAATTAATTTCTTTCATTTCAACTGTGTTTTTTTCTTCAATCCGATAAATATCCAATTGTAATAAATGATGTCAATGATGACTTGAGGACTATCCAATTACAACAGTTCTTCAAATGATCGGACGGGCCAATCTTCCATGGAACGAACATGGTGTTTGTGTTTTGTTTTGTCAAGCAGCGAAAAAATAACTTTTGAGTGTTATTACATTGTGTTTCGATTTTTATTCATCAATGAGATATGGAAAATGGATTAAATCTTTATAAAAACAATGTTTTGAAATAACATAGACAATCGTCATATCAATTTAGCCATTGGTTTTATGATTACAATTGATCATCTCTTGACACATTTGGATCAGTGATTTTCAGTTACATTACATGTTCTCAAGTCAATATTTTCAACTTTGTAATAATTTTAGCAATAAATTTATCATTAATCTCATCATATTGATCAAGATGACAATTGGATTTAATATTTGTAGTAATCAGATTCTTATTACAATATAATAATCATTTCAACATGTTTCGATAACAAATCTCAATATTTCTAATTGTAATCAAATGAGTTCTCAATCTTCATCTTTAGTATTTTGTTTTGCATAATAATCTTTGATTCAATTAAATTCAAGTTCTTCAATGATAAATATCAATAAATGATCAATGACTTATTATGTTTGAATTCATCAATGAGATATATGGATTCTTTATACAATGTTTCATGAAATCGAATCCATAGAAATTCGTGAGTATTTAATTTACATTGGTTTTGCAACTGTAATAAATTACAATTGATTGTCAATTTGACAGAAAATCATGATTTCAGTTACATGGAAATTTTTCAAGTCCAATATTTTCAACTTTAATATTATCAATTCTAAATTACTATCATAATCAATATTTGATCCCAAGATGATGTAAATTAGAAATTTGGAAAGTAGTCTTTGTAGTACCACGAAAATCTGAATTCTAAATAAAAATAATTAAAGAAAAATATAAACATTTATCACTCGATGATTAACTTACATTATCGATAACCAAATCTCTAAATTGTAATTCTTTATCGATTCATTTACAAAAATATCCTCTGCCCAGTCCCCAATGAAAGCGCTTTCCAAAGATGGACAAAAATCCATGAAATGAAAACCGGCGACCAGATCTGTACTAAGTTCAAGAATCTTTAACGAAGACAAATTCGGTCCATTGTAAAAACTTGGTCCTCTATATATGTATCATAAAAAGATATAAAATATTACAATCGAAAGATATTTCAAGTTGAATCTCACCTCCTAAGAGCTCCAAGTGAAGTCGCTTTAGATTTGGAAAATAATCAATAAATGAAGGTAAATTTAAATCATAACTGCGCCAGTAAACTTGTTTCAGCTGATCAGGTCGAAATACTTTTTCATAATCGAGATCGAAACATCCTGAAGCATACATTTCGATGTTTTCCAATTTATTAATAAAATCATCTTCAATAGAACCAAAATGATCAATCAGTCCTTTTATTTTAGGATTTTTGTTGAAATTACCAAATGTAAGATGATCAGGCGACGAAATCTCTACAATCTATCAACAGATTGAAAAATAATTAGAAAGCAACGTCAACTTAATTTAAAAATTCATTAATTACCTTAAGATTCGGAAATGATTCCATTAAGTTGTAATCTTTCCAATCCGTACGATTTATGCACAATGTCTTCTTATCAATGTAATCATTTTGTAATGTAATAACTTTAAATTAAAAAATTGGAAACAAATTAATGAAAATCATAATCGAGCAATTAGAAATTGTCTTACCATTTATCAAACGAAGATATTTTACTTGATTAAATCTCGGCGTAATTAAATCAGACCATCTCGAACAAACTCAAGAACCAATGAAAGTAAATAAGCATTAAAATTTCATCATCTTAACGGAATCTTAATCTTACCTTTAGACAATCCAATCAAATCTTTGGCCTCATGAACATTTTCGAAGATCTTCCAAAGACAGTTATCGGGCAAATCGTTAAATGACATAATTATAATTCCATTTATTAATTATTTAAAAATTTGGGGAAAAAAACTAAGAAGTACAAATTGAATTTGTACAATTCACTAGAAAAACAGCTGATTAATTACTGAGAACAAGCGCTTTTTTTGGATGAGACAAAAGGAGTGTTTTTAACGCGTTTTAACCACACTCATGTATAATTTTGGACAGAGATGTTCTCAATGATTCAATCATGAAATTTGTCCTCCAAGATTCATTGGTTTCACTTTCATTCTAAAACGAGCGATTAAAATTATATCAATTAAGTAATAATTACGTGAGTGATTATCCTCGCTTATTTCACGACTTTTGTCAAATTTTCCAAGAAACAACTGATTAGCTTGATTACTAACAATTTTATATTTTAAAATGAATTTGATGCTCTCCGAGATGTGGTAACGATTCCAATAAATATTAGAATTCTTTCCGATTATTAACGATTCGTTTAAAATTTTCGAATGAAAATGATATTTTATAACTCGATTTATTCATGATCAAAAATATTCATAATTATCTTATAGATTGATATTTGAAATAGAAATTAAATTGGTTTAGAATTTGCTAGTTTGTTTGAAAACTAACCTTAATTTTACGTCGAGTGTATTTATTAATATAAATATAAAAATACAAAAGAAACTGAGAATTAAATCACATGGGTCGAACATGGTGTTTGTGTTTTGTTTTCCAAGCAGCGAACAGAACTTTTGAGCGTTATTACAGCATGTTTCGATTTTATTCATCAATGAAAATTGGAAGATCGTTGAAAGTTTTATAAAAACAATGTTTCATGAAATTGAATCCATAGCAAATTGGCTCGTGAGTATTTGCCAATTTAGGCCATTCGATCGGCTCTTTTACACAATCGTAATACATAACAATTGATCGATTCTCTTTGACACAAAATTTGGACAGAATATCAGCTGATTTTTCAGTTACATTAACACATGTTCTCAAGTCCAATATTTTCAACTTTGGTAATAATTTTACCAATTCTTCTAAATTACTATCATTAATCTCAACCATATCTCTGATCCCAAGATGATGTAAATTAGGAAATTTGGAAAGTACTCTTCGTAGTCTTTGTAGCCTTAGTAGATATGGCCAAGGAGCATTGATAGACTAAAAAAAGATAGAAAATCATTAATAATTCTATAAGAATTCATCACTCAATGACTTACATTCTTGATAACCAAATCTCTTAAATTGTAATTCTTTATCGATTCATCTACATTAATATCCTCGGTCCAACAATGGATGAAAGCGCTTTCCAGAGAGGGACAAAAATCCATGAAATTGAAACCAATAACCGAATCTGTACCAAGTTCAAGAATCTTTAACGAGGACAAATACACTCCATCGTAAAAAACTTCGTTCGCTATAATAGATCGTAAAAAATATAAACCATATTATACAATCGAAAGATATCTCAAGATGAATCTCACCATCATCTAGCTTTAAGTGAAGTCGCCTTAGATTTGGAAAATATTTAATGAATGAAGGAAGATCAGTCATATCAAGGAAGTAGCTGTAAACTTGTTTCAACTGATCAGGTCGAAAAACTTTTTCATAATCGAGATCATAACGTTCTGAAGCAAACATTTCGATGTTTTCCAATTTAAAATCATCTTTAATAGCATTATGAAGATCAATCAATCCTTTTATTTTTGGATTTTTGTTGAAATTACCAATTGGAAGATGATCAGGCGACGAAATCTCTATAATCTATCAAAAAATTAAAAAATAATTAGAAAACAACGTTAATTGTAATTTAAAAATTTATTAATTACCTTAAGATTCGGAAACGATTCCATTAAATTGTAATCTTTCCAATCCGTACGATTTATCCACAATGTGTACTTATCAATGTAATCATTTTGGCCTTTAAATTAAAAAATTGGAAACAAATTAATTAAAATCATAATCGAGCAATTAGAAATTTTCTTACCATTTATCAAACGAAGATATTTTACTCGATTAAATCTCAACGTAATTAAATCGGACCATCTCGAACAAACTTTAGAATCGAGAGAAAGAAAATAAGAATTGAAATTTCATCATCTTAACGGAATCCTAATAATCTTACCTTTAGACAATCTAATCAAATCTTCGACCTCATGGACATTTCCAAAGATCTTCCAAAGACAGTTAACGGGCAAATCGTTAAATGACATAATTATAATTCCATTTATTAATTATTCAAAAACTTGAGAAAAAAACTAAGAAGTACAAATTGAATTTGTACAATTCACTAGAAAAACAGCTGATTAATTACTGAGAACAAGCGCTTTTTTTGGATGAGACAAAAGGAGTGTTTTTAACGCGTTTAATAGGTCGCGTAGGAATAATTCTGGACAGAGATGTTCTCAATGATTCGTTAATGAACTTTGCCTTCCAAGATTCAACTGGTTTCACTTTCATTCTAAAACGAGCGATTAAAACTATATCAATTAAGTAATAATTACATTAGTGATTATCCTCGCTTATCCCACGAATTTTGTCAAATTTTTCACTGAAACAACTGATTAGCTTGATTACTATCAATTTTGTATCGACGAATGACTCAAAATCCTAATTATTATGGATTAACAGGTGTCACTCATCGGCATCTTTCTGATAGTTTATCTGAACTGGTAGAAAACACGCTTAATGATTTGGAGCAATCGAAATGTATCAGCATCGAAGAAGATATCGATGTGTCACCTCTTAATCTGGGAATGATTTCTGCCTATTATTACATCAATTACTCTACAATTGAACTGTTCAGTTTATCTCTTAGTAACAAGACCAAAATCAAAGGACTTATTGAGATAATTAGTTCAGCAACTGAATATGAAAGTATTCCTATTCGACATAAAGAAGACATTATCTTGCGACAACTTTCATCTAAAGTTCCAAACAAAATTCAAAACGCCAAATACACGGATCCTCATTTCAAGACCAATCTACTGTTTCAAGCTCACTTATCTCGAATGACCTTACCCGCTGAACTTCAATCTGACACCGAGCATATTTTAACTAAATCAATTCGTCTCATTCTGCTTGTGATGATGATGTCTTCTTCTTCGATGCAAATGGTTGGCTAAGTCCCGCTTAGCTGCCATGAATTGGATAAGATGATATCTTCTGAGCTGTTTGGAATTCAATTGAGAGATCTTATCTGGAACAATAATTTCATTTTTCCTCAGGTGAGTTTTGATTTGTTTTCACAGAAAAGAATTGAATTTATTTTTTTATACCTTTAATTTTTTCTTCATGAAAGAATAATTTTATTGTTTTAAGAGATTCGGTAGTAATTTTTTGTTTTATTTTGTTCTGTTTATTAATCAATAGAAACGAGAGGAAGGTTGGTGGCTTGTTATTCCCCCATTTATAACTCGCAAATCCATCATTTTGTCATCATAAGAGAAAATGTTTTACAACATAAACTTGACCATCAACATTATAAAAAACAATGACACACAAAAGATACTAAATTAAATAACATGGGTCGAAGTTTAATATACATGTAATAAAAAAATAAGAAGAAATAAAATTAATGTCAATCTTGACAAGAAGAAATTCAAGATGAAATGTCAACTTTAACAACAAAACTTTTACACCTTCATTCACCTTTATTTTCCTTAATCATCAACCTGATCATCATAAAAGAAAACAATTGTCAACTTTATTCTCTTATCTTGTTGTTAATTATCATCAATTTCTCAGTCATCTTAATCAATATTATTCTAATCAAACATCCTATTTTCTTATTTATTGTAACAGAATTTTAATCGTAAAAGTGTCAAACTGGATACTCGAAAAGTTAATTCAATCTTTAATCGAATTGAATATTTTATTGAAAATTCACCAGCTTATTGTTCAGAAAAGTTGTCGTGGTTTCAGCATCACTTTCATTCAGTTTAACAATCAAATCTCATTTAGTGATCATCATGGATACACAAATTTACAATGGAAAAGTTCATGCATATGAGGACTTGAGGACTATCCAATTACAACAGTTCTTCAAATGATCGGACGGGCCAATCGTCCATAGTGTTTTGTCAAGCAGCGAAAAAGAACTTTTGAGTGTTATTACATTGTGTTTCGATTTTTATTCATCAATGAGAAATGGAAGATGATTGAAATCTTTATAAAAACAATGTTTCATGAAATCGAATCCATTGCAAATCCGTTCGTGAGTCTCCACCGATTCAGGCCATTCGGTGGGTTCGTTTTTGCAACTGTAATAAATTACAATTGATCGATTCTCTTTGACACAATATTTGGACAGAAAATCAGCTGATTTTTCAGTTACATTGGAACATTTTCTCAAGTCCAATATTTTCAACTTTGGTAATAATTTTAGCAATTCTTCTAAATTACTATCATTAATCTCATCAATATTTCTGATCCCAAGATGATGTAAATTAGGAAATTTGGAAAGTAGTCTTTGTAGTAATGACCAAGAAAAATCTGTAGACTGAATAAAAATGATAAAAGAAAAAATCAACAAAAATCTTAAAAACATTTATCACTCGATGATTGACTTACATTCTCAATTACCAAATCTCTTAAATTGTAATTCTTTATCGATTCATTTACAAAAATATCCTCTGCCCAGTCCCAAATGAAAGCGCTTTCCAAAGACGGACAAAAATCCATGAAATGAAAACCGACAACCAAATCTGTACCGAGTTCAAGAATCTTTAACGAAGACAAATTCGGTCCATTGTAAAACTTCTTCTATATATGTATCGTAAAAAATATAAATATTAATCAAAGATATTTCAAGTTGAATCTCACCATTATAGAGCTCCAAGTGAAGTCGCTTTAGATTTGGAAAATAATCAATAAATGAAGGTAAATTTAAATCATAACAGTGCCAGTAAACTTGTTTCAGCTGATCAGGTCGAAAAACTTTTTCATAATCAAGATCAGAACGTCCTGAAGCATACATTTCGATGTTTCCCAATTTAAAATCATCTTCAATAGAAATACAATGATCAATCAGTCCTTTTATTTTTGGATTTTTGTTGAAATTACCAAATGTAAGATGATCAGGCGACGAAATCTCTATAATCTATCAACAGATTGAAAAATAATTAGAAAGCAACGTCAACTTAATTTAAAATTCATTAATTACCTTAAGATTCGGAAACGATTCCATTAAATTGTAATCTTTCCAATCCGTACGATGATTTATACACAATGAGTCCTTATCAATGTAATCATTTTGGCCTTTGAATTAAAAATTGGAAACAAATTAATTAAAATCATAATCGAGCAATTAGAAATTGTCTTACCATTTATCAAACGAAGATATTTTACTTGATTAAATCTCGGCGTAATTAAATCGGACCATCTCGAACAAACTTAAGAATCAAGTGAAAGTAAATAAGCATTAGAATTTCATCAACTTAACGTAATCTTAATCTTACCTTTAGACAATCGAATCAAATCTTTGGCCTCATGAACATTTCCGAAGATCTTCCAAAGACAATTATCTGGTAAATTATTGAATGACATAATTATAATTCCATTTATTAATTATTTAAAACTTGGAAACTTATAATCAACAAACAATTATTACGATTCACGATTTTTTATATGAAGATTTAAGAAAAACTAGGAGTCGTACAGACATGGAAAAAATATCAACAGAAAGAAGACAAAAATCTTCAACAACAAAAAATAGAACCAATGTTATAGGGGCCAGGGTCAAAAGTTATTAATTAATGAAAAAAACGGGGCGTTAAATTGACCAAATTAAAATGTTAATTAGATTAATAAGAGGATTAGATGGAAAAGAAAGAGAAAAGGGGAAGAGAGAGAAGGGATGAATTATGACGTTCGGGGCAATGAAAGGGGAAGAGAAAAGAAAGAGCATCAGATGAATGTAACTTTTTTAATTGTATCAATCGCACGCCCTGGGATATTAAAACTTTGAGAGGTTAATCAAGAATACGATCAACTACTCTGTTTAAATTAAGGTTGACAAAATTTTCAAGAAAAAAGACAGAAAAGATGTCATTCATGAATTCCATCTCCTAAAATTATTCAGAAAAGCGATCAAGTTGATCGCTTGGTTTTCCTTGTTCCATTTATTAATTATTCAAAAACTTGAGAAAAAAACTAAGAAGCACAAATTGAATTTGTCAAATTTACTCGAAAAACAGCTGATTAATTACTAAGAACAAGCGCTTTTTTTGGATGAGACAAAAGGAGTGTTTTTAACGCGTTCGATAGGTCGCGTAGGAATAATTCTGGACAGAGATGCTCTCAATGATTAGTTCATGAACTTTGTCCTCAAGATTGGTTAGTGTTGCGCTGATACTTTTTTAACGAGTAATATTATCGATACTTTCGTTTTCGATATTACTCGATACTTTTGTGAACGGTATCGAGTACTTTTTCCAGGCACTGAAAGTGAATTTTTGACTCAGAAAAATGAAAAATTGAGAATATGTAGAAATTTCACCAAATAGAATCAGAAAAAATCAATAAATATTAGTAATACTGTTCAATACCCACGGTATTGTTGATACTTTTCGATATTTTTCAATATTAAGTATTGAAAATATTATCGATACTTTGCCTAACAATACCGATACGTTTAATCAATACTTTCTATCGGTATCGCGCAACACTAAGATTGGTTTCACTTTCATTCTGAACCGTGAGATTAAAATTATATCAATTGCGTAATAATTACATTAGTGATTATCCTCGATGATTTCACGACTTTTGTCAAATTTTCCAAGAATCAACGTATTGGATTTGCTAACTTTCAATTTTATATTTTAAAATTAATTTGATGCTCTCCGAGATGTGGTAACGATTCCAATAAATATTAGAATTCTTTCCGATTATTAACGATTCGTTTAAAATTTTCGAATGAAAATGATATTATTTTATAACTCGATTTATTCATGATTAAAAATGATCATGATTATCTTATAGATTAATATTTGAAATAGAAATTAAATTGGTTTAGAATTTGCTAGTTTGATTGAAAACTATTACCTTAATTGCATTTTTTTACATCGAGTGTATTTATTTATATAAATATAAACATACAAAAGAAACTGGGAATTAAATCACATGGGCCGAAGTTTCAATTTTCACTTTTCAGTGGAAAATAAACTAAACTTTTAAAATTAATTTGAATTTGAATCAAGTTTCAAAGGCGTTCAAGTGTTTCTTTTATCGAACTCAAATGTGTCGATTTTTAAAAATCCGCGGCTAACCTAAAAATCTTCTGAGCGCCATCTCTTGGTTGTCGAAAGAAAATGACGAATTTACTTTTTTGGTAAGATCTTAGTTAATGGTTGGAGGTGTGGCCAATGGTTAGTTTTCACACTAATCTATCAATTAATCGATTTAATTAATTAATTAACATGAGACCTTATGATGCGGACTATTGTTTTTTTGTTAAAATGAGTTTCCATGAGTTTGATTTTTCTAAATTAACTTTAGTTAACTTTGATTCAATGATTACATGTGACCGTGAAATATTACCTGGGTTTGAGTTTGCTAAACATGTTAAATTGATCAATGCCCCTAAAGCCCATCGATGTGTCGACTCTAATTGTGACGGTGTAATGACTATTGAGAAAAGAGATTCACTCAAATTGAAATACCGGTACCACTGCAACAAGTGCAACTCAGTACTTGCCTTAGCCCAATATACATGGTTTTCAGGTAGCCCATTGGATGTGTTGATGTCGTTGAGGTTGATATTTTTTTGGACAACCAAATGCTCAGTAAATTTTACCGCTAAAGCCCTTGGGCTAAATAAAAATACTGTGCTTAATTACTTCAGCGAGTTAAGAGAGATATGTATTAATAAATGTACTGACAACAAGGTAAAAATCGGTGGTGATGGTCATGAGGTCGAGGTGGACGAAACTAAGGTTTTTCACAGAAAAAGTCATCGTGGTCGTTTAACGTTTCAAGAGAGAAAAAGTCGTGGGTTATTGGAGGCATTGATCGTGAAACAAATGCTTGTTTCGCTGAGCTGGCAGCCGACCGAGGATCTGCAACAATTAAGGAGCTAATAACCCGACGTGTTCGCCAAAAAACTCGTCTATTGACGGACAAGTGGAGATCTTATTTGTGCCTCAATAATTGTGGTTATGTAGTTAACCAAGTTAATCACTCGAAAAATTTTGTTGATACAAATGATCCGACCGTCAACACACAAAAAATAGAGAGAAACTGGCGCTCACTTAAGGCCTGCTTACCGAAAAGTGCACATGGAAAAGGTCGAAGTAGTTACATAGAAGAATTTGTCTATCGGAAAACATATTTTACGAAAAATTTTGGTTCTAATTACTCGATTGTACTACAAGATATCGCTTCTTTCTATCCGGGTTGTTTCTCATATGAACGAGTGAATTAAATCGATTAATTGATAAGATTAGTGTGAAAACTAACCATTGGCCACACCTCCAACCATTAACTAAGATCTTACCACTTTTTTTTCAGCATTTTGATTGGAAAGAGCCTATCCGTACAAAAACTGTATGCGATTAGGCACTGAGACTATCCGTACAAAAACATATGTCTATTATAAAAAACTACAGTAAGACCTGTCATATTTGAACACTTTACTTTATTGAATCACCGAAGTGTAATGATTTAAAATTGTCAACTACAGTGTAGGTGCTGTAGCTCCTCCTGAGAGGAAAGTTGTTCCTGACAACTTAGGGCAGAGAAATGACAATAGATTTGGTTTACAAATTATTAGGTAAAAACAAAAAGTAAAATTTACAAATTATATTGATTTGCTGATGGTTAGTTTGAATGTCCAAAGATCCAATTTGATGATTGGTAAATAAAGTAAATGAGTACCAAGGGTGGAGATGAAAGCGAAGATGATGTCAAAATAGTTTGACTCATTAGGTATGATACGACGAAAAGGAGAAAGTAAAAATTAGAATTTTAGTTTTTAAAATGTGAAAACAATTAATTTGATTATAAATTTGAGGTAATTTTTAATCAATTTGTTTAATCAGCTGAATCAGCTTTGAACGTACGTTCAGGATCTGTTCTATGACATATAATAATTACTGACCTATGACCTGAAACATTTAGACGATTCATTCGAAAATTTTTCGATAACGTTTCGAATTTTTATTAACTATCATTTTAATTGTTTTCACACTAGATGTGTTTTAATGTCATGAATAAAAATAAAAAAAATGATTGGATGAATAGAAAAAGAGGCCGAAATAGATGAGACAATGGTCTATAAAAGAAAAAGTAACAAGGTCGATTATCTAAGGATCAAGTGGAACAAGTTTGGGTTTTCGGTGGAATCAAACGACAATCTAAATTAGCTTTTGCCAAAGTTTGTTCCGAACCGAAGAGAAGAGACATTATTAGAGGTAGTTAAGAGGAAAATTTTACAAACAACAACAATTTATTCGGACGGGTTGAAATCTTAAAAGAAACTCAATCATCACTATTACTTCCATGCTTATGTCAATCATAATGAAAATTTTTTGAATCCTCGTGATAAAAATGTACACACACAAACATTTGAACGAAATTGGAGGCCATTGAAAGAACATATTCCAACTTCTACAAATGGGCCAAATCACGATGAACATTGAGTCAACTTTTTGTGCAAAAAAAGTACCACAATAGAAAACAGCCTGCTTTTAACTTTGAAATAGCACTTCAACATTTAAAAAATAATCCCTCTTCTTCTGGTTCTATTGATATTGCTTAAAAATTATTTCTTTAATTATCAAAAATTATTTGAAATTAAATCAATAAATTTTCTAGAAAAGCCACCTGTCTCAAGCCGAAAAGAAAATCAGCTTGAAGAGAGACTATTCGTACAAAACCTAACCAGTTCCATCTATCGAGAAAATTGAGAAATATAAGTGTCGATGATAGGGATTTTTATAACAAATCAATCACTTTATAATTATCGAATGGACAGTACAATTGATTTCTCGATTGGTAAAACATTTTGTGGCCATAAAACTTTATCGAACTTTATTTCTACTTATGAAAAACGTTTTGCGGCTCAATTGTGTATAAGAACATCAAAAAAATCTCTGGATAAAGATTTAGCTCACGATTATTTGATTTACTGTTGCAAAGCTGGTGGTAAAAAGAAACTTTTTGTCTATCAATAAAAGCGGACAAATCTCGAAAATTACTTGTAGTCAATCGTAATAATTTGACTCATACTTGTCCTTTTGATGGTCATCCAAAAATTTTCGAAAATTGCCGAAACAAAACGATATGATAATATACAACGAAAATTAATTTTAGATGTTAAAAGTTTTCCAGGAATTCTAATCGCGAAAATGGCTGATGGATATAACAAGGTAATTACTCATAAGGATGTCCATAATATTGTGAAAAAACGGTGCCTATTAGTGATGCTAGGTAGCTCGAACAATTGATTGTGGTTATGAAGAAAAACTTGAGACAAAAGGTCACTTACCAAGGTCAAGAAGTGAATACAATTTTCTTTTAAGATTTTTACATGAAAAAAATCTATGAAGAATATCCTGCAGTTTTTAATAGACGGTTTATATCGTGTTAACCAAAATCGAATGATTCTTATGATTTTCATGGTGATCGACGCCAATGGATCTTAAGGAATCGCTGCTCTTGTATTCATCGAGTCTGAGTCTGAATCATGCACATTATTAATTTTGGAAAATTTCAAAACTGCTTGTGATGGTGCTTCTGCTACCAAAGTGATAATGTTTGATAAGGATATGGGCAACAAAAACTTAAACTAGGGTGAGTATCCAAAATTCAAATTATCTGACGTTCAACCTTATCATTTTGTGTTTCATTAACTACCATTACTTACTTTTCCTTTGTTAATCAACTAAATATGGTCAACACCATATTTAGACTATTCCTTTTCTCAATAATAACCAATAAAAGGTGAATCAACGTTTATCACCCGATTCACTCATAGCTCCCTATCATCAAGTATAAATACCGAACCAATGTAATAGAATCAGTTCAGTTCATCAGGATCAACAGTATCAACATAATTATCAGTGTTTAAACAACATTCAATTGTAACAATCAACTTATCGAATTCATCATCAATAAATATAACCTTAAAATTATATCATTGTGTTTGTTTTCAACTAAGTCCGCTCGGTAACGTTACATTACTATCAATTTTATATTTTAAAATCAATTTGATGCTCTCCGAGATGTAACGATTCCAATAAATATTAGAATTCTTTCCGATTATTAACAATTCGATTAAAATTTTCGATTGAATTGGGAAACTGGGAATCAAATCACATGGGCCGAAGTTTCAATTTCACTTTTCAGTGGAAAATAAACTAAACTTTTAAAATTAATTTGAATTTGAATCAAGTTTCAAAGGCGTAAAAGTTATTACATTGTGTTTCGATTTTTATTCATCAATGAGATATGGAAGATGGTTGAAATCTTTATAAAAACAATGTTTCATGAAATCAAATCCATAGCAAATGTTCGTCAGTCTCCATCAGTTTAGGCCATTCGGTGGGTTCGTTTTTGCAACTGTAATAAATTACAATTGATCGATTCTCTTTGACACAATATTTGGACAGAAAATCAGCTGATTTTTCAGTTACATTGGAACATTTTCTCAAGTCCAATATCTTCAACTTTGGTAATAATTTTATCAATTCTTTTAAATTACTATCATCAATCTCATCAATATTTCTGATCCCAAGATGATGTAAATTAGGAAATTTGGAAAGTAGTCTTTGTAGTAATGACCAAGAAAAATCTGTAGACTAAATAAAAATAATTAAAGAAAAAAACAATAATCTAATAAACATTTATCACTCGATGATTAACTTACACCATCGATAACCAAATCTCTTAAATTGTAATTCTTTATCGATTCATTTACAAAAATATCCTCTGCCCAGTCCCAAATGAAAGCGCTTTCCAAAGACGGACAAAAATCCATGAAATGAAAACCGACAACCAAATCTGTACCGAGTTCAAGAATCTTTAACGAAGACAAATTCGATCCATTGTAAAAAACGGGGTCTTCTATATATGTATCGTAAAAAGATATAAAATATTACAATCGAAAGATATTTCAAGTTGAATCTCACCATTATAGAGCTCCAAGTGAAGTCGCTTTAGATTTGGAAAATAATCAATAAATGAAGGAAAATATATATCATCATTGTGCCAGTAAACTTGTTTCAGCTGATCAGGTCGAAAAACTTTTTCATAATCGAGCTCAGAACATGGTGAAGCGAACATTTCGATGTTTTCCAATTTAAAATCTTCTTCAATAGAACCAAAAAGATCAATCAATCCTTTTATTTTTGGATTTTTGTTGAAATTACCAAATGGACGATTATCAGGCGACGCAACCTCTATAATCTATCAAAAATTAAAAAATCAGTAAAAACAACGTCAACTTAATTTAAAAATTCATTAATTACCTTAAGATTCGGAAACGATTCCATTAAATTGTAATCTTTCCAATCCGTACGATGATTTATACACAATGAGTCCTTATCAATGTAATCATTTTGGCCTTTGAATTGAAAAATTGGAAACAAATTAAATAAAATCATAATCAAGCAATTAGAAATTGTCTTACCATTTATCAAACAGAGATATTTTACTCGATTAAATCTCGGCGTAATTAAATCGGACCACCTCGAACAAACTTAAAAATCAAGAGAAAGAAAATAAGAATTTAAATGTCATCAACTTAACGTAATCTTAATCTTACCTTTAGACAATCGAATCAAATCTTTGGCCTCATGAACATTTCCAAAGATCTTCCAAAGACAATTATCTGGTAAATTATTGAATGACATAATTATAATTCCATTTATTAATTATTCAAAAACTTGAGAAAAAAACTAAGAAGCACAAATTGAATTTGTCAAATTTACTCGAGAAACAGCTGATTAATTACTAAGAACAAGCGCTTTTTTTGGATGAGACAAAAGGAGCGTTTTTAACGCGTTTAATAGGTCGCGTAGGAATAATTCTGGACATAGATGTTCTAAAGAATTCGTTCATGAACTTTGCTTTCCAAGATTCATTTGGTTTCACTTTAATTCTAAAATGTGCGATTAAAACTATATAAATTAAGTAATAATTACGTGAGTGATTATCCTCGCTGATTTCACGACTTTTGCCAAATTTTCCAACAACTGATCAGATTTGTTGACTTTCAATTTTATATTTTAAAATCAATTCGATGCTCTCCGAGAGGAGTTAACGCTTCCAATAAATATTAGAATTCTTTCCGATTATTAACGATTCGTTTAAAAATGATATTATTTTATAACTCGATTTATTCATGATTAAAAATAATCATGATTATCTTATCGATTGATATTTAAAACAGAAATTGAATTGGTATAGAATTTGCTAGTTTGATTGAAAACTAACCTTAATTGCATTTTTTTACATCGAGTGTATTTATTAATATAAATATAAACATACAAAAGAAACTGGGAATTAAATCACATGGGCCGAAGTTTCAATTTTCACTTTTCAGTGGAAAATAAACTAAACTTTTAAAATTAATTTGAATTTGAATCAAGTTTCAAAGGCGTTCAAGTGTTTCTTTTATCGAACTCAAATGTGTCAATTTTAAAAATTCGCAGCTAACCCAAAAATCTTTCGAACGCTATCTCTTGGCTGCCGAAGGAAAATACGACGAATCTGTAGTTTCTGAAAGAAACTTTTCTTTTTGTTATAGTGATTTAATTGATGAAATTGTGCTTCTTCTTCGTTTTATCTTATTTCGTTTGGACCTAATATCTAATGTCTATTATGATCACATCATAATTTTTGTTTGTAATTTAGTTGTTTCCAGTTAATAGTAATCATGACCGCAGTTATTGACAAAAGGAAACACCAGTACGCTCGAAAATTGGGATTTTCTTTCTCGTCGATGGAAACAACGTAAAAATGTACAAAATATCAATCATCGTATTACATTTAGCAGGAGGAGATGACGGACTAATTCTGGAAGTTGTTTGTTCTCGAACGCGATACATTTCATCGCAGATTGAAAAACCGATTCGTATTGTAGCACTTTCTTCATCTTTAATCAACGCTCGTGATGTTGCTGAATGGCTCGGATGTAAATCTGCTACTTTTAATTTTCATCCAAACATCCGACCAACTCCACTCGAACTGCACATTCGTGGTTTCAATCAAACACATAATGCCACTCGTCTCATGTCCATGTCCAAACCCGTTTACCAATCAATCATCAATTCCTCTCCAAACGAGCCTGTGATTGTTTTTGTTTCTTCAAGGAAACAAACAAGAGTCACTGCGATTGATATTCTAATGTACACTGCTGGTGATGATAATCGCAATCGAATAGTGCATTATTCTAGAGATGCTCAAACGAAACTGGTGCTTGTGTTTTGTTATGCCAAGAAGCGGAAAAAGAACTTTTGAGTGTTTTTACATTGTGTTTCGATTTTATTCATCAATGAAAATTGGAAGATAAAGGAGAGTTTTATAAAAACAATGTTTCATGAAATCGAATCCATAGCAAATGGGTTCGTATTGCATGTCTACCAATTTAGGCCATTCGATCGGCTCTTTTACACAATCGTAATACATAACAATTGATCGATTCTCTTTGACACAAAATTTGGACAGAATATCAGCTGATTTTTCAGTTACATTAACACATGTTCTCAAGTCCAATATTTTCAACTTTGGTAATAATTTTACCAATTCTTCTGAATCACTATCAACAAACACATCGTTGTGTCTGATCGCTAGATGATGTAAATTAGGAAATTTGGAAAGTAGTCTTTGTAGTAATGGCCTCGATAAATCTGTAGACTAAATAAAAATGATAAAAGAAAAAAATCAACAAAAATCTTAAAAACATTTATCACTCGATGATTAACTTACACCATCGATAACCAAATCTCTTAAATTGTAATTCTTTATCGATTCATCTACATGAATAACCTCTGCCCAACATAAGATGAAAGCGCTTTCCAAAGAGGGACAAAAATCCATAAAATGGAAACTGGTAACCGAATCTGTACAAAGTTCAAGAATCTTTAACGAAGACAAATTCGGTCCATTGTAAAAAACTTGGTCCTCTATATATGTATCGTAAAAAGATATAAAATATTACAATCGAAAGATATTTCAAGTTGAATCTCACCTTCATCAGTCTCTAAGTGAAGTCGCTTTAGATTTGGAAAATATTTAATGAATGAAGGAAGATCATACAAATCAAAATTGCGCCAGTTAACCTGTTTCAGCTGATCAGGTCGAAAAACTTTTTCATAATCGAGATCATAACGTTCTGAAGCAAACATTTCGATGTTTTCCAATTTGAAATCATCTTTAATATCATCATGAAGATCAATCAATCCTTTTATTTTTGGATTTTTGTTGAAATTACCAAATGGAAGATGATCAGGCGACGAAACCTCTATAATCTATCAAAAAATTGAAAAATCAGTAAAAACAACGTCAACTTAATTTAAAAATTCATTAATTACCTTAAGATTTGGAAACGATTCCATTAAATTGTAATCTTTCCAATCCGTACCAGAACTTATGTACAATGTGTACTTATCAATGTAATCATTTTGGCCTTTGAATTGAAAAATTGGAAACAAATTAAATAAAATCATAATCAAGCAATTAGAAATTGTCTTACCATCCACCAAATGAAGATATTTTACTTGATTAAGTCTCGGCGTAATTAAATCAGACCATCTCGAACAAACTTTAGAATCAAGGAAAAGTAAATAAACTTTAAAATTTCATCATCTCAACGGAATCTTAATCTTACCTTTAGACAATCGAATCAAATCTTTGGCCTCATGAACATTTCCAAAGATCTTCCAAAGACAATTATCTGGTAAATTATTGAATGACATAATTATAATTCCATTTATTAATTATTCAAAAACTTGAGAAAAAAACGGTTAAGCCTAAATAGCCAGAAATGGGATCAAGTCTTAATGAATTGAATCCAATGTTAATTCAGTTAAAGGCAAATTTTGAGATCAAAATCCAGAAGCACTGATACCACATGAGATATTTTCACATGAAAAAGAAAACTGAATTCTCTGAAACAATTGTTAATTTTTTCACTAGTATTTCTTTTTTTACTATTTAATTGATCACTTTTCATTAATTAAATAAGAATTCACTAATTAGAGTTGAAAACTGATTATACTTTTCTCTCTGGTTATTTAGGCTCGGGGACTATATGACCAGAGATTTCTGGTCGAATAGGCTGTTCCGAAAAAAACTAAGAAACACAAATTGAATTTGTCAAATTTACTCGAGAAACAGCTGATTAATTACTAAGAACAAGCGCTTTTTTTGGATGAGACAAAAGGAGTGTTTTTAACGCGTTTAATAGGTCTCGTAAGAATAATTCTGTACAGAGATGTTCTCAATGATTCGTTAATCAACTTTCTCTTCTAAGATTCATTTGGTTTCACTTTAATTCCAAAACGTGCGATTAAAACTATATAAATTAAGTAATAATTACGTGAGTGATTATCCTCGCTGATTTCACGACTTTTGTCAAATTTTTCACTTAAACAACTGATTAGCTTGATTACTATCAATTTTGTTTTATAAAATTGATTTGATGCTCTCCGAGATGTGGTAACGATTGTTTGATTGAAAACTATTACCTTAATTTCATTTTTTTACATCGAGTGTATTTATTTATATAAATATAAACATACAAAAGAAACTGGGAATTAAATCACATGGGCCGAAGTTTCAATTTTCACTTTTCAGTGGAAAATAAATTAAACTCTCAAAATTAATTTGAATTTGAATCAAGTTTCAAAGATGTTCAAGTGTTTCTTTTATCGAACTCAAATGTGTCGATTTTTAAAAATCCGCGGCTAACCTAAAAATCTTCTGAGCGCCATCTCTTGGTTGTCGAAAGAAAATGACGAATTTACTTTTTCTGCTCTATTTGTTCTCTTTATTGACACCCCCTGGTGAATGCATTATACATTATTCTTCAGGAATCCTGAGGCGGATTACCTGAAGGTCCTTCCGGACACTGGACTCTGTAAATCGGTGGCTCATATGACCGATCGAGGGTAGCACTAGAGGCTACTCAGTCATTTGACGACTGTAATTAGTCACCTCTCACAGAGGCATAATAAATCTCTATTTGATTGCAATTAATTTCTTTGATTTCAACTGCATTTTTTTCTTCAATCCAATAAATATCCAATTGTAATAAATGATGTCAATGATACCTTGTTGATAATTGTGATAATAACAACAAGTATCCGGGAGATTTAATGGTTTATCGTCACATGATCAAGTTACTAAACTAAATAGTTGATTGTAAACAAGATTTTCAAGAGGTAAAGAAAAGTTTAAAATTACAGAAAAAATTCAACTTAATTGGTAAAATTAAGAAAAAATTGAAAAGATTAAGAAAATTATGAGAAAATTAACATTATTTGCAGATCGAAATGTCCAAAAAGAAAGAATCAAAAAAGAGAGAGATGAAAATGAAAGAGAAGAAAGAAGAAAAATCTAACGTGACAGTAATTAATTAGATTACAAAAGCGATAATTGTGCAACGTGTGTACTAGAAATTAGTGAGAAGAGTAGGAAAGAAGTAAATTAATAACAATCAGGTGATGAGAGAGAAAATAAAATAATCCCAATGCGGTAGAGAAGAAGAAGAAGATAAGTGTTTAAAGGTGAAAGAATGATGAAGATGATAGAAGGAGAAAAGATGATGAAATAGAAAGAGATGGAAAACAATTGAAATAAATAGATAAATTCCCATGAAATTAATCAGTTTCACAATTGGATTAACTCAACAACGAAAACAAAAAAAAGAATTAGCCGATTGTAGTTCCACCTATCGGACTAGAATAAAACTATTGACAGAAAAAAAATTATTCCTTTAATCAAGTGAATGATTTTAATTGATCAACATTAAAATGAAATTGGATTAATTGTTATTAACTACAATTAGATTTGCCTTTTAATCTATCAACTCAATTTAGCTGATTAATTGAAATCCTTTTTCTCCCTTGTCTCACATAAAGATACTTGATGTTGGTACATTTTCATTTCTACTTTTAGTGATTAATGTTTCTTTTAATTATGTCAACTCATTTAATTACAATCTCCCTTTTCTCTCTTCTTTAATTACTCTAATTGTGTTATTCTTCATTGGTAATCAAATTAATTTTTATTCATCAACTTCTATTGCAACAATTACTACAATTAAATAAATGTAATGTCATCTTGTGATCGTCAATTATTTGGGTAAGTGTTTAAGGGAGAATAGAATTTTAATTTGTTCTCTTTTTCTCTTTGGCTGCCATTTCTTTTTTTTATGAAGATTTTCAATCTATCAAATTTGTATCTTTTTTCTTTATTACCCTTGTTTTAAGTCTTTTCCCTCTTCTTTTTTTTCTTTCTTTTTCCTTTTTCCATTTCTCTTCTTCTTCTCATCCCCTCAACATCTACCCCACTGATTACCAAGAGGTCATTTTGATTTATTGATTCTTCAATTTGTATATTAATTTCTCAACAATCCGAAGGTATCCCCATGGTGGAATTACTGTAATTAGAAAAAAAGTATTTCTCTCTTTCTCCTTTTCTTCTTTCTCTCTCGCTCTTTCATATTTGAAACATAAAAGTGTGTGAATTATAATCTAGTGATTAAAACGAGAGAGAGAGAGAAAATCATTTTTTTCCTTTTTCTATTTCTACTTTGACTGGTAATGTGTTTGTCTTTGCTTAAAGAGGTTGATTTTTATTACTCATTAATGTTTTTCCTCTTTTTTTCTTTTCTAACAGATCTTTTTTTTCCATTGTGAGTCTAATAAAAATTTGGTTCATCATAAAGGCAACATCATTTAACCAATGTTACACTACTTTCCTCTGATGATCAATTAAATTCAATCCTTTTTTTTTACCGTTTGTTGATCGTTACCATTTACGCCATTGTTTTGTGACGATTGTAATTCTAGTATGACAGAAGAAGTGATTACCTGTGAAGTGAACATTTTCAAGTGATAGTTTTTCCCCATAATCATTGTGTTTACCAGCATTTGTTATCATCGTCATTGTCGTTATCATCATATTCTTGCATCATTTTTTGGTTACATGGGAAGACAGAGACGAACACATGGAAAAAGTATTTTTCTCATGTTTTAAAGCTGAAAATTCAAAATAAAAGGAAACAAAATAGGACAAGAACGAAAAGAAAGAGAGAGAGAAGGAGAAAGCAAAAAGAAAATCTGGTTAACTGGTATCACAACAGTTCGAAAGGAAATTGTCTAGTGAAGACAAAGGAAAGAAAAAGAAAATCATTCAACTCGTTTTCAGGTAACATTAAATGTGATATGGAGAATGACCTTTATCTTATCAATGGCAGTCCAATGAGTTGTTTCATTTTATCATCATCGCCATCATCTTCATCCCCATCATTTTTAGGAGGGGTAACAAAAAAATCACCTCGAGTAAAAGGGAAAAAATCAAAAAGGATCCATATCAAAGTAAGTTGAATCTTTTAATTTAATTCACTTGATTATTTGATTAAGTCTCATTGATGAATATGAACAAGTTAAGACTTTTACAAGGAGAAAGAGAGAGAGAGAGAATAAGGTGAAGTTTGATAGAAACAGAATTAAAAGAAAGAGGGAAAATTGGAGACAGAAACGAAGAAAGTAAATATGAGAGCAAGATGATGATGATGATGATGAGGAAAATTGAGAAGCCAAGAAAGAAAGAGAAAAAGAGAGAGAATAACAAAGAGTCAAGTGCATAGTTATGAAGAGCATGATTGAAATTGATAGAGTGAATGGAAAGTGAGTGTGAGAGAGAAAGAGAGATGAATTCAGTACATGATGTGATGATGGTAAAGTGAGTAAATGATTCAGGGGAATGCTCAGTGTGTGAGTAAAGAGTGAGATAGAAACAAGATGTTGAGAGAATAAGGTAAAATCGATATTAAATTGTTTGTGGCGCTTGTACGATTAAAGAGAATAAGAAGAAATAAAGTTAATGTCAATCTTGACAAGAAGAAATTCAAGAGATGGCGTTGCTTCATGTTCGTTTGATACAACCTTTGCGATTTATTTTTCTTTCTACTGTATAAAACGTTTTTCTCTCAACTTGACATGATTCTCTCTCATTCTTCTTTTTCATCTTCATCAGTATCTTTCTCTTATTTCTCATCTCAATGATTATCAACAAGATAAAATGTCAACTTTAACAACAAAACTTTTACACCTTCCATCTACACCTTCATTCACCTTTATTTTCCTTAATCATCAACCTGATCATCATAAAAGAAAACAATTGTCAACTTTATTCTCTTATCTTGTTGTTAATTATCATCAATTTCTCAGTCATCTTAATCAATATTATTCTAATCAAATATCCTATTTTCTTATTTATTGTAACAGAATTTTAATCGTAAAAGTGTCAAACTGGATACTCGAAAAGTTAATTCAATCTTTAATCGAATTGAATATTTTATTGAAAATTCACCAGCTTATTGTTCAGAAAAGTTTTACAAAACATCAACCTCATCATCTTGTGCAACCTCATCACTATCATCATCATCATCATCATCATCATCACCTTCATCCTCATCTCAATGCACAATGACTAGTCGTTCATCAATTGGACACTCTAAACATCAACCAAATATTCATTGTAATCAATCACAAGAAAATAATCGTCAATATCAACGTTCATTTAGTGAAGATTTAGAGCCGTCCAAAATTTTGGAAACTGGTGATACAACTTGTTGTCCCACGGATGCACCAACCATCGCCCAAGCACTATGGCGTCCCTTATGGCCTCCTGGATGGCGTCCAAGAGGTTCATCATCTTCTTCAACTAATAAGTGTACCACAAACACGAAAAACTTTCATAATAACATTAACAGTAGCAAACGTTCAACTGTTCAAAGCAATAATAGTAATAATATTAATTGTAGAAGTGATTTTAACAGTATTACCGGCACCACGGGTAATACACTGAAAAATATCTTTAAACGCCCACTCATTATTATGAGTGAACACCGGGAAGATCCTCGTTCTTTTGGTTCTTCTAGTGTATCGGTAACTAATTCAGGAACCGGTAACGAAGATGAGAGTGGTAAACGAGGAGTCGGTGTTAACTGTATAGTGAGTGGAAAATTGGGTGGAGCTGGAGAAAGTGAGGTTTTACTTGGCAAACGTTTAAGTGAAAAATGTGTTAGTGGTAATTCTGCTATTAATGCATCATCATCCACTTCATCTTCCTTAAACTGTTCACAATCTAAGTCTCAACAGCAACAACAATCTTCCATTAATCAGAAACAGTCAACAACAGCACCAAATAATCGGCTTATAACCCTGTCAACGGGTCGTCTTCGTTTAGGACCAACTTCGAATGATGTTTCATCTTCCCTTGAGGAATATGAATCAATGGAAGCCTGGTTAGATGAACATCCCAAATTTTTATGTGATTATGTTATAAGAAAAGCTCCTAGATCAACAATAGATGCTTGGATATTGGCTCATTCCATTCCTCATTCAGCGGGCTCTTCGTGTGGAACTTCATCAGCTTCGGCTCCAGCCTCTGGCGCTGCTACACCGGTTCGTAAAATATCAGCCCATGAATTTGAAAAGGGTTCATTGTTTCTTCCGCCCATGGTGTCAACAACAGAAGAAGGTATTCCAACATTTCTTCAACCGCCAACTCGAGATGATTATCATCCATCATCATCTTACCTTTCATCATCAAATCAACATGTAACCAACCTCCATTCTCATTATCAACAACAATATTTCAGTTCCAATCTATCAACAACTGAATATAGCTATTTAAGCTCAAGCTCATTAGGACCATCTTTAACCTTACGCCAACCTCAACTTACATCATCATCATCAACAACTTCATCTTCTTCCACTTCCACTTCCACTTCATCATCAGCAGCAGCCTCTGCAGCAGTGGCATCAGCTATAAAAGCGATAATATCATCATCTTCATCATTATCAACCACCACAACAATCACTTCATCATCAACACCATTAACTGATATTTCATCTCCATCATCAAGTGTTCAACGATCACGTTCTCAGTTCGATGGTCTTGATGAGAAGCAATTAATATTTGAATTGGTCAAAGACATTTGCAATGATCTTGATGTTGTCAGTCTAAATCACAAGATACTTAAAAATGTTTCCCTTCTCACCAATGCTGATAGATGTTCACTTTTCCTGGTCAAAGGTGAACCCGGTGATCCAAATAGACATTTTGTTCCCACCCTATTTGATGTTTCCTCAAAACCAGCATCATCAACAACATCAACAACAACAACAACAACTAATATTACAAACAATAACACTCAAAATGCTTCACTAAAATTAGAATCAATTAAAGTTCCCTGGGGCCAAGGAATAGTAGGTTATGTTGCTGAATCAGGTGAATCAGTGATTATTGATGATTGTTATAAAGATTCACGTTTCTCTGATTTAGTTGATCAAATGACTGGATTTAAAACTCGAAATATGCTTTGTTCACCTATTTTTGACAATTATGGTCAAGTAATGGGAGTAGCCCAAGTAATTAATAAATTACCAAAGAGCCGATTGTCCATTCCATCAGCTGGTTCATTGACAATCAACAACAACAATCAAAATAATACAAATAATTTATCTGTTTGTAGTAACAACGTAAATAATAGTAGTAATAATATTAATAATAATAATACGTCAGTGAGTTTTACTCTTGATGATCAACGTATATTTAATCAGTATTTACAATTCTGTGGCATTGGCTTGAGAAATGCACAACTTTTTGAAAGATCTCAATTAGAAAACAAACGTAATCAAGTTTTACTTGATTTAGCGAGAATGGTTTTCGAGGAACAATCAACAATCGATCAAATTGTTTACCGTATTATGGTTCATATTCAATCGCTATTGGGATGTGAACGATGTCAAGTTTTATTGGTCTCAGAATCTTCATCTCCAAGTGATTTTGATCCATCCAATGAGATTGACATGATTGAAACTGAATCAGTTGAACATCAAACCAAACAACAACTAGAGATTCCAGATAACAACAATTACAGAGATGTTGATGAAACTATTGGTGAAACAAATAGTAGAACTTTTTCTCGAGTTTTTGATCTATCCATGGATGATCTAACAGATGAAGATAAACTTTCTGCTGATGATAACAATAATAATAATAATAATCCACCTGAGGATAAAAGTCATGAAGATTCAAAGATGAATGAAATATCCAGTACAACAAACAATAATTCAACACAATTAACAACAACTATAACATCATCACCATCACCATCAACAGTAACAATCAAAAATCATCCATTTGAAGGTCGTTTCCCAATAAACATTGGTATTACCGGATATGTTGCTACAACAGGGGAGACGTTGAATATTCCTAATGCATATGAAGATTCAAGATTCGATACATCAGTTGATTCCTTTGATCCTCGAGGATTTGTACATAAAAGTATTCTTTGTATGCCCATTCGAAATGCTAATAGACGAATCATCGGAGTCTCTCAGTTAATCAACAAATTAAACGGACAACCATTTAATAAGAATGATGAAAACTTATTCGAGGTAAGTTTTTTTTCTTTCATCCCTTTGTTGCATCATTGTTGTTTATCCTTTTCTTTTATCTTCCCTTTTATCATCCTTACAGTTTATCAGTATCTCGTGTTGTTTTCAGAAGAAAGTTAATATTATCCAATTCTGAAGACCATTATTCAGATGATATGATTTTTAAGTTGTTTTTTTTTCTCTGAAATCTCTCATATTAATACAACCGTTATCTTTATCATCTTAGAATCTTGGTCACGAATTATTATCAGACTCGATTCCTTATCCATGCTCTAGTCAACAACAAGAATCTTAGAGCCATGTGTGTAGACAAATGAACAAAAAGATAACTTGATCGATTCTGTTGATGTATTCACCTAAAACTACAATGAATTGATGAAGGGTTAATGTAATGAAAACAAGGTTTTCACCATTGTTACAATTACATTATTACTCAGTGAATTTGATTTTACTTTTTGTATTGTTATTATTTCCTCTTCTGCTTTTCATTAACACACACAACCCACATTGAAAATGTATCTACACATTATCCTGCTTACCTGATTTCTTATCCATAAAGTTGTGTAAAAGGTTTTGGTTATTATTAACTCATTGATTGTTTTGTATTTTACTAATGAGACTAATTTGTTTATACATTCAAGAAGCTTCTCTTCATTTATCATCATTCAATCTATTCTCTCACTCAAGTTTCACAAAACTCTAATCACACTTTCTTCCTATTCATCGGCATTTCCCTTTAATTCACCTGAAACTAGTTGTATGATCTCTCTCTCTCTCTCTCTCTCTTGCTATTTTTTTCTATCATTCGATTATTATAAAAGCATCCAACATTATTTTCACTACGTCAATTGTGTCAGTTTTTTCACACTTACAGGAAACTGAGTAAACTCATTGACATAGAAATCAGTTGATTCATAATTAACAGTTAAAAAAGAAAACAAATTATATAATGTTGTCAATAACAATCGAAAACAATAATGAAAATAATTATAATCCCCAGACATCATTAATTTATGAATGCAATAGGTTTTATCCTCTTGTACACTCAGGAAATCCTATTAATTAACGAGAAAAAAAAGATGATGCAATTTCTTAATTAACCAACTTGAAGTGAAAACAAATTATTTACAATTATGTACAATATCAAATACCAATAATAATAATAACGAGCTACATTAATTATTAAAGCATCTCCTGAAAAATGATCATTGATGTTGTTTTTTCACACTCAGGAAATCTATTTAATTCACTGAATCATCATGAACTTGATAATTACCTAACCTCAAAAGAAAACAACACAATAATAATAATCATCTCTTTACAATGATAATAATAGTGATAAAAATAATCCCCAGAAATTATTATTACTCATCTTCAGGGTACTTCAACTCCCACTTTTTATGTTATAATGAGTTTTTTTTTTTTTACGTCGCTTGCTTTTAAAGCGAAATAATTTACTTCCATAGTCATTAAAATTTCTAGGATTTCTATTTGATACCTCATCATTATTGTCATCATCATCTTCTTCATTTATTATTATATTTACTTGATCACCCATATCTCACCATAGATACTCTGATCATCTGTATAACAATTAGGTGTTTCATTTGTTGTAAAGAAGTTAAATTTTCAAAGATTTGTCTCTATTATTATTCAGTGAATATTTTTTTTCAGTTTCCTTGCATGAGTAGCTCATGAAAACATAATTTCCTGAATTATGTTCTCAACTATATAATGATAAGGACAATCAATGAAAATTCATCTACGTAATTTTCATCAATATCATAATAGTATCTGTAAGATTAGATAGATTGATTGTTATTGTATTGCCACCATGAGAATTTGAGATGTAGATTAAACTGTTGATTATAATAATCAGATGATTAGTATTAATACTTTAATACTACATTATGATGAAAGATAATCAAATAAGCAAATACCAATGTAGATATAATTTGATGTGTGAAAGAAAAAAAAATTATGTAGACCAATCCAAATATTTCATCTCATTATTGTTCATCAATTCACTCAATCATTATATTCTCAGTATTATAGATTATTAATATTACTTGTAATTTATTGTGTTTCTGATAGTATTTGGCAATTTGACTGCTTATCCATTATATTTAACTGATAATAGTATTAAAATGATGATAAATTGCATGTATATATTATTTATATTGAAATTATTCAGTTGATTCAAGTGACTTACTATATAAATGTATTAATAGTATCTGTAGATATCAATATCGGCAAGATAAAGTGTATAATCAATGACCGTATACATTATGATGTTTATGCCTGAAAATTTATTCAACATTTCATGATTCTCAGTAATTCTTGTTATCAGTTGAGTTCTGGTATATGGGTCATCCTCATATTGTTCAAGGATAACAATTTAGTTTATTTCTCAATGGGATAGCATGATGATGATGATGATGATGGTAAAAGTTGTAAAACTTTTCTCTCTCATCATCATCATTTCCCTCTCTTTCCCTCATCTTTTCATCTCCATTTATTTCTGAGTATCTTCCAAGTCTTTTTCATCTTCTTACATGCATATGATCAAGTGTAAGCAATTTAAATTGACACAGTTTTTCCTTGAGAATAAGATGATAATGTATCACCTCAATGAACTTGAATTGAAGATACGTTAATAGTATGAACTTATAATCGTATTCAAATCACCGTTATCGATTTGTTTTGTTTCTTCAAGTGAATCGCAATGTTAATTACTTAGTTAATTTTTGGCAAGTTTTAATCAATAGTCAATCAATTTTCGCACAGCTCAACTAATCTTAATTGTGTCTTAAACTTTTTTTTTATTGTTGATTAATTGAAATAACTTCAAGGTTTTCTAAGGTTGAATTATACTTGTTTTGGTTTGATTACCGTTAGCTTGATTGGTTATTATCTTGAGTTTGTTTTTGTTTTTCGCGATAATAATAATCATCATTCATAAATGTGATGTTTAGATATATCAACCAGCCTTGAACCTATGATTTTTTTACCTGTAAAGATAAACATCCAACCGCATCCATTGATTAATTATTTATATTTTATTACCAATTTTATGATAAAAAAAATGATGATACTAATAAGTTATTAAGAGATAATTTAACGATTGATATTATATAAATAAGATGAAAGGGGAAAAGTTACTTAAAGAATAAGCGAAAAGTTTAAGAAAAATTATTACTGAGCTACTTATTATCTTCATCATCATCATCATCATCTCTCTCTCTCTCTCTCTCTCTCTCTCTCTCTCTCTCTCTCTCTGCATCTTTATGAGGATGATGATGATGAGAGATAAATTCGAAGTTGGGGAAAGTCCAAGGTTGAAAAAATCATATGTTCTGATGTTGATGATGCATAAAAATACATTAATTTACATTAGGTCATGTTACTTATGAGTTGAAGAAGAAAAACAGTTAAGATAAAAACTTTTCCACTCATGATCCTGATCATTGAATAGTAATAAACGAAAATGAATTGAATAGCTGAGCTTAATTATCTAATTGAAAACCCAAAATCAGAACCAAGTTAAGTCTAGAACGAACTACTTACATGTTATCTTCATCATGAAATGATTGTTCCAGCTCTTAATTTACATTAACTTGGAAAAAAATATTCATTAGATAAATAATGAAGCTCATTTTGATTATTTCTATTTATTTTTCTTATAAATTATTTTACTTAAATCAACATACGAAACTCATCAAGTTTACAAAAAGTTATTAACGTGATTTAGATATTCCAATTTTCCAAAGTAATTAAAATAGTCAATGGTTTTTTTTCATCTATTATATTTGATTGTTTTCGACTCAAATCGAGACTACGATAATTATATTGAATATTTGGAAAATCATTAACTTTTTATGCATAAATATTTCAATTAATATTTATGATTTTCTCATTATTGTGACAAGTTTTCTCAGGCAACTAATACTTTCAATCATTTACTCGGTTTAATCAAGGGAGAGAGAGAGAAGAAAAAATATCCATTGAAAAGATTTGTAAATGTTTCATTGAGACTTACAAATCAATGAATTGCTAAGGAAATGAATATGTAATTTACTGTTGAATGATCATGATATTATCATGGAGCGAAAATAATAATTTATCACCAGAGAGATTGATATGATTTCTAATGTTACCTTATAATAATCTTATGTAAATATTTTGCATATATGAATGAAGAGTAAGAAGAAGCTCCTTACTCTCTCTCTCACACACACTCCCTTTAGCTTGATCTTATTGACAGAATGAATAAAACATTGAATGAAATGGGGTAAATATCATGGAGAGATAATAGAATGATGTTAATTACTTAGTTAATTTTGCAGTTTAATCAATAGTCAATCAATTTTCCTTTAGCTCAATAATCTTAATTGTGTCTTAAACTTTTTATTGATGATATTTATATTTATTACAATTTATGATAAAAAATGATGATATAATAAGTTATTAAGAGATAATTTAACGATTGATATTATAAATAAGATGAAAGGAAAGTTACTTAAAGAATAAACGAAAAGTAAATAAAATATAAATATTTTGCATATATGAATGAAGAGTAAGAAGAAGCTCCTTACTCTCTCTCTCTCTCTCACACACTCCCTTTAGCTTGATCTTATTGACAGAATGAATAAAACATTGAATGAAATGGGGTAAATATCATGGAGAGATAATAGAATAGATGTTAATTACTTAGTTAATTTTTGGCAAGTTTTAATCAATAGTCAATCAATTTTCGCACAGCTCAACTAATCTTAATTGTCTTAAACTTTTTTGTTGATTAATTGAAATAACTTCAAGTTTTCTAAGGTTGAATTATACTTGTTTTGGTTTGATTACCGTTAGCTTGATTGGTTATTATCTTGAGTTTGTTTTTCGCGATAATAATAATCATCATTCATAAATGTGATGTTTAGATATATCAACCAGCCTTGAACCTATGATTGATATGATTTCTAATGTTACCTTATAATAATCTTATG